TCGATTTGAGGTGAGGATATTCATAAAGGTGGCATGGAGGACAAGGGTTGTGCTGTATATAATCCATACAATACAAAGATGCCCCCATTTCGCCTTCAAAGACTGTTAGGGCAAATGCTGTTAGCGAGCACTTATAAAGGTCGCCACGGCACACGAGGGGGTAGGCAAGTGGCCGACACCACGCCTTTGTCTCCCTCGTGGCGATTTTTACACATCGCACTAGGTACTCACTGGAGGCCAAGTCGACCTATGACTGGTTCAGATAATGAGCGGGAAACGAACTTGAGTCACCAGGTTCGGAGCGCAGTGCGCTAACCACAGCTCTACCGCTCCACATACCGCGCACAATATTCAAAGACCACCCACTCACATATTTTCTTTGCAAAAGAACACTTTTCGAGTACACACTTAGAATATGAAAGTCAGAATTCAAAACTGCTGTACCAAAGGTTAGAGCCCTTTTTTCTTCCAAAATGTTTACTACTCGAAAAAGTAAATTGAAAAATATATATAATTTAACCGAGCAAGCTAACACCCGCAAGTTTCCTTTGATATACACACTTCTGTTCATTGACAATGGAATAGACACACGCTCACCTCCCGCACGGCGAGCTGCGGCGGGAAGGAGGCGGACACCAGCATGCTGCTGAATTGGTAGTCGGAGGATCTCACCTTGTTGCACATCTGCAAACAGGAAGATGACCGAATGCACTCAAAAAGTTGGACAGCTTATTCTTAAGAGGGAAATGCACAAACCTGGCGACACGGCCCAGGTCGCCTTCGAAAAAAGCTCACAGCCCACTAAATGCACGCACACTTTCGCTGGATCCAGGTTTCACTTTTAAGACTAAAATATAAAATACTACACGGGGTGGATAATAAAAGTGACTTTGTATATTTCACACTTTCATCGATGTAAAATGAATCCAATTGTAAATTTCACTCAAAATATGTGAGCAATAACAGGCACATTAGTCAAAAATGGCTCTGCATAGACCACACTGATTATAAGATTAGGGAATGTACGCAAACAATCCTAACATGTAAATGAGTATTCGCTTCTGAATGAATTTACAATAAACTTGGATGTAAAATTTTACAAAACACAAGTCATCACGGCATGTATCAAGGGTATGTAAAGCATGTCTGCACATTCAGTATGCTTTATTATAAATATTATTTGAATTTCCTACTGCTCTTTGGAATAAATGTAGTGGTTCATGAGAAGGGTTCAGACATTTAATCTGGCCATGTGGATAGCAGACAATGCAACATTTAGTCCAGTATATTGGAATGACGGGGTAAAATTTTGATAAACTATTGATATTGAACCTCTTCAATGAAGGGATCCTCGCACAGGCGTTGCATGACCCCCAGGCACACAGAGCACACGGACACTTTGGTCGCAACTCGGTTCACATCTGCCGCCTCCTGTTTCTCAGACTCAGCCGAGCCATTGCTTTCTCTCCGCTCCTCACTCTCCAAAGGGCACTGCACATCGTCGGGCTCCATGCCCATCTGCAGGTTGTCAGTTTTCATTTTTTTCCTTGGCCGTTCGTCCACATCGCCACCATCGGAGGTCTCGTGTGGACTCCCTTCTAATGCCGTGCTGGACGTAAGCTTCTCCAGCTGCCCCAGCAGCTCCTGCGTGGAACGAGGGTGAATCAAAGAGGAAAAGCACAGTGAGTCCCCAGACCGTTGGTTTGTGGTGGTGTCAGGGCATGGGGGAGAATTGGTTAAAGGTGCTCGAGGTGAGTGGGATGGGTGGGTTGAACTTCCGACAAAAACGAATTGCCAAATATCATGCCTTTTACGTCAGCACCACAGCTGCACGAACAGCTTCCTCCTACTCCTGGTGACAAGCGGTCACACACGTCACGCCACCCGCCGGTGACAGGGTGATTCGCAGACTCCTCAGTGTGGCTACAATCCACTGCCAATAGCATGCCACCGGCTAGCAGGCAATGACGTAGCTACCAACGTCAACTTTATTCCATCAACTGCAGTAGTTTCCAGCGCAGCCACTTCCTCCTCCTCCTTCTCACTCAGCCCACAACTACATCTAAGCCAGGATGAAGCAGAAGTTTAATGTTTACTCCTCCCAACAGAATGTCTCCCTTCATAAAATAAAATGTATTTGTGGTTCATTAATGTGTGGGCCTTCGGCACCAATATTTGCCAGCAGCATTTGTTCAAACGGGAAAAAACTCTGGACCAGTTTCAATATTCTCTGGCATTCAGGCCCTGGTAAGAAAATTCTGCTGTTATCAACAATGATATATACCGCCCGTCATAGGACTAAATTGGGGGCTGTTCAGCGCAAGACACAGCTAAATCTTTTCCCACACGTAATAATGTGCTGTGACAGACCACAGACGTGTCCCGAGTCAAGGTGTCAAAAGGACCGCGACGGACGGCGTCCTACCATCTCGGGTTGCTGGTAGACGGCGGGAGCAACCACCCTGCAGAGGCGCAGCACGCAGCGGGGACAGCAGCCCCCCTTGAGCAGCATGCTCACCACGGGCGCCCAGCGCCCGTCAGGCAGCTGCTGCAGGGCCATGCCCCGCGTTGCACACCTCGCTCCAGCACCTCCGTCCTGTGCCCTCACGCTTCAAGATTCACACCAAGTCCAGACGTTAACAGTACAAGGGGGCAGGAGGACAAAGGCTGATATCGGGTTTTTTTTTTAGAACTGCACTGGATCAGTGTCGAGAATAAGGATTGCAACCTGAGCTCGCCTTCGAATTTAACTTTATGGCCTCTCAATGAAGCACCTGAAGTTTGAGTTTATACTTAGTTGTTCCAACGTGTAAGTGTGAACGAGTGATTAAGTCTTTTTGTCAGATTTAGCTACGTCGAACCTATGACTCTTGCACACATTGCTCTCACACAGCTGATCATGCCCAGGGTTTGCAACGTCTGTTTACACCAAACGGTGCGGTAATAAGGGTTTAACCTGATTAAATGAACAAACTCAACACATACATCAATGCAAAAAGAGACATTTGAGCTGCCTGCAATATAATTAACAAATAACTAGTAAGATTGAATACCACCTTTAAAAAAGTATTACAGGCAACTGTTTGGACACTGGGCCTTCTTCATAGTACTTGTAAATTAGGCTGCTGTGTGTGTATTTAGCTTATGATATCGCTGCTTCAACCAACGACAACTTTGGTATATTCAGAATCAGAATCTTGATTTATCCTGGAGAAATCCAACACGGGCTCATCTTGATTTAATCCCAAGACTTGACCTGGCGAAATCAAAATATAAACTATGGATTGCTTCATTAATTCGTTTGTTAATCCAAAGGACTTGGCCAAATCTAACATAACAAAACCTTATTAAATCAAGGACCGGATTTGATCAACTCAAATACTTAAACAAAAAAAACCTAAATCGATCTAGTTTGAAATAATGTATCTGACCAAGTAAATCAAAATATGAACAGACTCAACGAATAAAACTGGTTTCACCAAAGCCTTGACCTTCTAAAATCAAGAACCTCGCCTATTTAGGTCAACACGAGAATTGATGAATCTCAGTGGCCTCCTAGAGTTAACCGATGTCTCATGATGGGTAGAATACGTAACATTGTAATAGATTCTAGCGACGTTAAATTGAATTACTTGCCAGTGCTTTGTCTTAACCGCACTATGGTGTAGAAAATTATACGACTGTTGCTTCATGGTGGGCGACGGTCAATGACCGAGTTGGCTGCCCAAGGAATGGCCCGGGAGAAGCTACAGTGAGGAGATGGAGCGATGCAATCAGATATTGTGAAGGTGCTCGGTGGATTGTGACATCACGGGATGGAAACAACTTGGGGGGGGTAGGGGCAGGTGGTGGGGACAGGCATTAATCCAGCAGTGGATTGACAAAATCGTATCTACGCCGTGCCACACAGGGCCACCCGTGCCACACAGGGCCACCCGTGCCACACAGGGCCACCCGTGCCACACAGGGCCACAGAAGACCACGAACCGGGGGGGGTGTGCACGGCGAACTCTGTTCAAGGCTCAGTTCGCACCCCACCCGGGACGGTTTTTAAACAACGCCGCTGCCCCCCCCCCATCCCGATCGATACCGCTGCACTGCTCCCCCCGTGCTGCGCTAACCAAGTGACCGGCGTGCAGCAGGGGGGCGAGAGCTGAAGCAGCAGGGGGGCTCAAGCCGACTTCGCTTCCGAGCTCGGGCCCACGGGGGCCGATTGCTTTCTGCAAGCCGCACCGAGCAGCCGTGGCGATGGTGACGGTCAATCAACCCCCACGACCCGCACGCCGTGGGGACGACGTCCTTCGTCATCCAGCAGCAGAGTGAGAAAGCTGCTGCTGCTGCTTGAACACCGCGGCACGCACCGCGACGCCGTTGCCTCGACACAGGCGGCAGCGGCGAGGGAGACACCGCACGCCCCACCGTACCTGGCACTTCTGCTGCAGGCGCGTAGGGGGGTGGTTTCTCGACGTTTCTGTCGCTTTAACGTCTCAACTGCGACACTCCAAACAACTGCGACACTCCAAACAACTGCGACACTCCAAACAACTGCGACACTCCAAACAACTGCGACACTCCAAACAACTCCGTCACTAAAGCGACCTCGCCACACCGCCACGCTCAGCCCAGCAGAGGCTCTCAGGCACCACCTGTTAGATTTCCCAGCACGCACGCGCCACCCCCAATGATCCTCGCCGCTATTGGTGGGCCCCGGCTTTGGCGGACGCCCGCTCCGACCAATGAGGAGCCACCCCCCTCCCCCCAGGACGCGCGAGTGGCCTAATGCGTTGTAGGAAATGTAAACGGCCGTGCCTCCGTTTCGTAGGTTTCCCAGCACATGGCGAGCAGCCCCCGCGTTTTTAAAACGATGTTTTGTTATTTTCCAGCTGTCACACGCGCCCCTCTCCCTCGGCTATAGAATGACGTTCTTGCGTTACGATAGAGGCAATTTGTCAAATTCATTACCCATTTTTATTGCATCAAAAATGACTCAAACATAAAAGGATAATGCAAGCTTTTAATTACACACATCGCCGTACAACATAGCCAGCTACTGCGATTCGTTTACTGTAGTAATGTCTGGGAAAGTATCTCAACGTATTAATCCTTAAATAAAATAACTCAAAAATGACAATTTCAAAATGTTATGTTGGTGATGGAAGGTTTCAGTCTACTTATTGGCGAGCAGTGACGGCAATGTAGCACCACCTTGTGGATAAAGCCACGATAAAAACAAACATCATTGTAATTAATCCATGGTATTTAAAGCGAGTTTCTCAGTACATAATTATAATTAATAGCTTAATATGCAAAAATAGCACTTTGGTGCTGAACTTCATCAGCTACATCTGAAGCCACAGCCTCAATGCTGATGAGCATTTTACTATACTCTTAAATTACCAGCTCAGACATTTAATATTCTCAAAACTGCACAACTGTATTTGAGGGTTGAAAACCCCACAAACTCAAAAGAGTGGTGCCTCAAACATTGTGGAAACTCAAAGTGACAAAGCGTCGTTCCACCCTCCCATATCGCCAGGAAGCATGTCATAAAAACCAAGCTCATCTCATGATACAAAGTTACAAGGAAAACGTTTTAGCCTCCATTTAACTTCCTCAAATCGTCTTAAAAATTCCGCAAGAGCCACCTCACTCGTCGCTGAACTTGCGTGTGATGCGCGAACAGCGCGGCGTGCTCTCCAGGTCAAATTTGCTATCGTAGATGGTGGGGCAGAGACCCCAGCAGTTGTTGCGGTAGATGCTCAGGTAAGTGTACACATCCGGCTTGTACATCATCTGTGCCTTGATGCCCGTGGCACGGATGGCGGTGTCCAGTGCGTAGACGTCGTCCTCGCGCGTGAAGTCGTGGCTGTACACGCAGATCACATGCTTGTTCCCCGTGCTGCTGGAGTCGTGCGGGCTCACCTTGGCCATAGGAATTAAGCCCTCGACTACCGCCTTGGCCAGGCCCCGCCAGGCGTGATCCACCTGTACACGGTATGGTGATGTTTTTTACAAGATACCTGGGCTTGAATACACACAGAGGTAGGTAAAGTAGGAGAGACGTAATGTAAATACCAACAGAAGCCAAACTAGTCGTATATCTTCAGCAGTAGTGGTTGTAAAAATAATCACAATTGACTTTAAAGAACTTATGACGAAATAAAAAAAACTCCGTATGCACCGTTATGTATGTATAACTTCTTTCCCACCATACGTAACCATACCTGTCAACCCCTTATCAGTGCCCCTACCTTATTACAGACCAATTCAGACCTTATTGGTCACCCCGTGCTCTTATAAATCTCAACGTTCATTCTACAAAGTCCCATTACAAGGGAGAAACACAGAAAACAAATGTCGCCCGTATTGAAATGGCTTTATGCCATATGGACCTGAACATTGTATTTCCCTGTACAAGAATACGGGTAAACCATATGGGTTGATAGATATCCGTAACGAACTGTGCTAAACGGAGGTGCGCAGCATCGTGGGTGAACATATGAACTTAAGATTCGTCTCTCACATTTAAACAAATTTTGTATACTTTCTATGTCAGCATTATCAAGCAGCATTTGTTTAAAAAAAGTAAAATTTATCTGATAGGCTTACTAAAATGTTATTTTTACGTAGAGAAGAGTACAAATGTTAAGTCTATTTTTTATTAACTTGCTCATCAGCGGTAACTAACTCTTCACAGAACTGGCCAAGTCTCCAATGACAAAGTTACATGTGTTCTTGATGGGCTCTCACAAAGTTGAAAATAAAAACCTAAAACTCATGGAAATATATTAATAAGAGAGCTCACAATCCACCTTAAAGCCAGAATCCATGTGGATGAGCCACTTCCCAAAGAGGCAGCCGTGGTCAAGGGCCAGCCTGCGCACCATGCCGAATGTGATGTGCTCGCAGCAGCAGGTCAGCTGCTCCCAGGCCTCCTGCAGCCCGCATACGTCCATGTCCTCGCTCGGTGGCAAGCAGTTGGGGCCCTTTACGCAGATCCAGCCCACGCGGTCCAAGCCCCTACTGGCATCTCCGTGGCGGCTGACGACCGAGGGGCGGTTCGTGTCAAGCCAGGCGTCCAGCGTGCCGAGTGGCCCCTTGAGCGAGTTGAACGTCACCCACGGATCCATGTCGGCTGCCATCGCCTCTGCCGCATACTCTTCCGCTTGGAACTTCTGCTCCGTGCCCAGTGCCTCCACCTCCATCATCGCGGCGGCTGTGCCAGAAATAAATCGACACCGCAAGTGAGCCCTCTCGGCTTGAAGTGCTTTTTTTAACTGTGTTTTTGTTAGCTTCAGATGGAGGGTGCTGTTATAGGTACGTTTTGTGGTTTTCCAGTTGTGGGTTTTCTTGCACCGTTTTCGCTATTTTGTGTGCTCTTTCACGTCTGTACTGAATTGTTTCCACTTGTTATTTTGGTTGTGTTCGTGACCCGATTGTAGTGTCCGCACTTGGGATGTACTGCATACAAAGACAAAGATCCCCCGTACAGCCTGTAACAGACTGTTGGGGCAAGTGCTGTTAGCGAGTAGCCCCTATGAAGGCCGGCACGGCAACACGAGGGGGTGGGGTGGGTGGGTGGCCAGCAGAAATCCCGACCGCCTTTGTCTCCCCTAGGGGAGGCCCAGGACCGGTTCAGACAATCATCACTGGTGTTGGCCGTGAGCGGGAATCTAACTCTGGTGGCCAGGTTCGTAGCGCAGTGCACTCACCACTACACCACATCCCGGATTTTCTGTTTGCACAGTCACATAGTCACTTTAAGATGTGTTTTTTTGTTGCGGTTGCACCCGATTCAAGAGCCGAATGGCTCACAGGGCTATACCAAAATAAATGAAACTGAAATTAAACTACCGCTACCCACATGTACTGCCAAACCCCGACAGACACACACACACATTGATTGATAGGACATACGGGGCCGTTCCTCAACAAGAGACTTCATATCGCCATCTCCACTAAGCAGCACGCAGCTTTGTGTTACCCAGGTGCCGTGATCTCCTACCTCACAACATTCAAAGCATTGAGTTCATTTCAACAGCCACGACACAACAGAGTTTGTAAAGAATGGCCAAGTGCTGCCATTGTCGGGTGCAGCCGCAACAAACGACAGTGGATTAATATCACGACTGCACTATAACGACGTGTCCGTGGATTTAACCACAACTTCTATGCAAATTTCACGCGCACAGCACAATGTAAACACGACAGGCTCTGCCCAAGATGACAAATGCTAAAGTCTCACAAGGCATTGGAGCGAAATGCCCACGCCGACGTTGAGATCCATGCGTGCAAGTGTCCGGGTGGAGGCTGCTGCAATGTTTAGCATCCATAACCACGGCGTGGGGATTCGCGACTGACTCCAAAAGGAAGGCTGCGATCAAATACGCTGTCGCTATTAATTCGTGACCATTATAAACATCAACACGGAGTGAGGTTCCCTCAACGGGGCCGTGCACTGAACTTGTCAAAACCACCACGGGCGTTGTTTGCACGCGCGTGGCGCTCGTGAAAACAACTTCCGCTTGCGAATTGTTACACATTTGTTTGCTTGAAATGCTTTTATATACGCGCACACACAAACCTAGGGCGCGTCCAAAAAAGGTGGACCCAATTTCAGAGATATAGCCATTTCAAATCGGGTCAATCTTTTTGAACCACCGTTGTGTGTGTGTTGTGTGTGCAAGCGGCCCAACTCGCGCTGCGTGCAGCAAATGTTGTGAAGAGCGCTATGTGAAGAGCGCCCCGAAATCTCTCACCGCACGACGACGAGCAGCAGCAGCAGCCCGCCTTTGCCTGTGCAGGAGGACGATGAGTGAACGTCTGCCGCAGACGTCGCTATTTGTTAATTGCCACGATGTTCCGGTTGTTGTTGTTTGTTACGCCGCTCGATGTTGCTGCTGTGGTATAATCGTGGGGTGAGGCGTGGGCTGACGGCGAACCGCGAGGCCTACATCTGTGGTGCCAGCTCAGAGGTTTTTGAACCTCCTATTGGCTGCACTTTATCGGATTTTATGTCAACAAAGTTTGCGGATGAATATCTTTTTTTAATTATTATGACAGCCGAACTTGCTCTGTGTTAATATTAATCATGCAATGTAAACGTTATTCATGTAGTGTGCGCATCCATTGACTGCTGGTGATAACTTAAGAAATGAATGATATCAAATGCTCTTCAAAAGATCTATTATGGTGATGCTGAATAATTTATAAACATTTACTGTGCAAAAACATACCAAACTCTTAACCACCGTGGGAGGCTTTCAATCTGTAATATCAAGTCACTAGATGCAAAGCAAACATTTACTTTTTGTCTCTTGGTGTGGTGTTACTCTGGTTGTCCACTGTGCTGCCCAATATATCTTTCCTTGGCTGTTCTTCCCTATGTATCTCCGCTACCTTGTACCTCGTATTTGTTGACTCTGTCTATGCTGGTTTGTTCAACCCAGAGGATGAACACGAAATTTAGCAGTCTTATGAAATTCGTGGTTAACCAGGTCAGTGTCTATCTGTGTTGTTGGCCGACTGGTCTTGCATCACGTTATTTTTCTTAGGTTTGTTGAGTTCTCGTCTCTCATCTTCTTGTTATTGTATTTGCCTCCGTACAGTTTAACGTTCTCTATGTGCTATGTACGTGATGTCCCCCTATGTGCTCCCTCACTATTTGTTTCACACCTGATGATGATCGCTTGTGTTGCGTTCGAAACGTCGTGATTTATTATTTTAATATAATTTTCTACATACGTGACTTTACCGAAAAAAACAATGAGTACATTACACCGTTAATTGTGCTAATTCCACAGAATACAATAACTAGAGATACGGCTTTCCAGAATTACCAAAAAGTACCAGATGCTATTTCTGCATTTTCAAAAAGAATGTCTGATTAAATGTTTAATTTGTTAGATCAAAGCCAATTAAATTTGCATTTCTCAGCAGTCAGCACAACAAACACCCAATGATCACACCTGTCCCATGCTGCCAGGCCAGCTGGTAATTTTCACCCAGGAATGCACAGCGAGGTTTCTCATAACAAATATAAGCTGTTGAATTGTTTCAGAAAATAAAAATATGTCTCATGGCAACGTCTCGCGTGACAGTCCTGCAAATGCAGGTTTTTATCTTTCATGCGAGATTTAAATGTCTTTACATATCCTTCCCTTATTTTAACAAAACATCAAAATACATAGCAATGAATGTTCAACACAAATTATGATGTTTTTATTTATAAGAGGGCACATGAAAACAAAACGGGAAATATTTTTTTAATTCATTTACATTAAACCCCCAAAACTCTGATAGAACTTGTTTTCACAAACTGCTTTTGCCATTTCCAGATTGGTATATTTCAAATTAAATGTTTTAAAATGCAGCTTATGGTTTAGTTTGGATAAAAAAAATTCCTGCTACATCAGTGACTTTCAGAATGAACATGAGTGAAACAAAAAGTTAAGTGTTTCATTACGTCTATGCTGATTTATGTTTCCTCTTGTTGGCTGTTATGTTGTTGTTGTTTTACTGGGAACATCACCATTGTGAAAACAATGACTGCTATAGTCTTCACAGAGGAGCCCAGCTTCGCTGCTGCCTCAATCGTCATCCTCTTCCTCCGGCTCATCTTCCTCCTCCTCCTCTTCTTCCCCATCCTCCTTCTCGGCAGCGCGGCGGGCCTCCTCGTCATGGTAAGCCTGCTCCTCCTCCACACTTGGGTCCTTTTCTTCTGCCACCTCCGGCCCGCCCGCGTACTCCGAACAGGGCATTGGCACCAGGGCAGGGCTGAAGCCGCCCGCCACGTATTTCACACCCCAACCCATGTACAGGTTCTCGAAGATTCTGTACGCACAGTGTACACGCAAGCACATTGATTAGACCATGGGGATCATGCTCAGAAGAGCATTTCCTAGACCAGTACACTGTGACTGAGATTTGCACATTTACCATTTTTCTTCATTCTTCAGGACATATGACATTTATGTGACAAGTTGTAATAATTGGTATAGACAAATTATTTAACTCAAACAAATGGAAAACTGAACATTGGGACAATCTATAACGATATAAATACATGTATTATTGTATATGATGCATATAACCAAAGGAAAACTACGGATGTATAGAATTGCAAAACATATGTTTTATAAAGGAACTCTGCAGCACAAGAGCACATGTTGTAGAGGCTGACACTCACTTCCCCTTGCAGTAGGCATAGGAGCCAGGCCAAAGATTGGAGCGAAGTACAGAAAAGGCATGCTGAGGCACAGCGGTGCTTGACAGCCTGGCTGTCCATGGTGCTGTTCCTTCAATCTCTGTACACAGCAGACAGCGGTGTTTACATATGCAACAACGATTCATGCTCGCAATATAATCACCTGTACCACTGTCACGAATCATGGTCTCAGTGTAGAGGCATAGTCAAGAGGGTGGATAGCTGGAGAATTGCCTTCCTTTATTGTTATAGGGCCCAAACACGATACTTTCAAACAAAGACGCAGTCTGGGGAATAAAAATGCATATCTATTTTTTATAGATATATCAATGTGCAAGGAGGCACAATATTCAGTAAAACCTCACGAAGCCAAACTCGGGTAAACCGGGAAGTCTCCCGCTCACTCTCGTTTTTATATTCATTCTCCATCGAATGGCGACATCTAGCGGATAAATAAATTACTGAACACATACAGAGTTAATAAAAAGAACTAGTCTTTCATCTCACTAATCTCACTAATGTATCTCTTTATGTCTCGGTGAGCCAGAGCTTGGCAGGCCACTTCAAGAGCCGTTGAGGGTCACATGTGGTCTGTGGGCCGCCAATTAAAAAACCCTGTTGTACAATGCGTCAGGAATGCAGTGTATTATATACATTACTATGACGACAGTGATGATGAAACAGAAGTGAGAACTGGCACTCACCCGCATCCTCTGAAAGCGGTGTAAGGAGGGGTGGCCCCACCTCCGGCTCTGGCTCATCTGGCTCTTCCGTATCTTCTTCATCCTCCTCCTGTTCCTCCTCCTCCGGGTCCTCACTGCGTTGCTTTGGGTTGATCCAAACGCAACGACCCTGCACGAACCAACCACATCACACTTTATTTTAACCTTGTCGGGTAGCTCTCAACTCCGAAGCAGGTCTCTCCGTTAACGTGTTCTTAAGCCAAGTGAACACCTGACAAATCGAGTACTCGATGAACAATGCTGCTGTCTTCTAGTAATGGTTATCGCTACACACTATTAACAATGTAATGTGTTGTGTTGCAATCTGCTACTTTGCAGATCAGTCGGTTTTTGGAGTTTCACTAATTTGCATGATCTACACTGTCCTAGCCTCCAAAGCACTGCAGAGCAGGCGTGTGCCTCTACAGAGAAAATAATTACGAGCTTGCAACGTGGCTACTCTGAACATCACACAGAATTTTAGTTGCACTAATTTCAATGCGTTTCGTAAAATAAATTATTAGATCTGTCAGTCAACAAGGTAGTTTCTTTTCATATATCACTCCTTATTTACTTGCAAAATAACATTGACACTATAATAAAATAAAAAGAGATTGAATTATCACATCAAACTCAAAAAGACTCTAATGGTTACACCCTTTTACGGCATCCCCTAGGCCAGGGGTTGGCAAAAAATATAACCAGAAGTAAAAATTTTGTTCGAATTCGAGAAAACAAAAAAATAAATTTTCAAGAGCCATAATGCATGTGAATAAAGTCACGGAGCTGCAGGTTGCCGATATCTTCCCTAGGCGAGTGCCATTCGTACCTGTGGCAAGATGTGCTGGGTGTGGTGCACCCAGTTAGCCAGGTTGTCCACCAGCTCCCGCACCGGAATGCCTTCAAAGTCGGGGTTCTCGATGCAGGTCTCGCGTCCACCTACTGCATCCTCCTCTCCCTCCTCATCTTCTTCAAACTGGTAGAACCCCAGCGGGCTGACCTGCGTGCCCGCTGAGATGCGGGCGATCTGTGCCCGCAGCAGGTTGGCCTCGTTGCCCGGGAAGGGTGGGTAGGAAATCACGGGCGCGTCCAGGTGCCCCGTGAAGAGGCGGCGAATGCGACGTGCCGTCACGATTTGAGCAGGAGTGACCCACGGCAGCTTCTCCCATGGCTTCCCCGGCTCGTTGGTCACAAAGTATGTGTACCTGTGTGGGTTGCGATCAAGTTACACCTTCTCTTTCCAGTAGTATATTGGAAATTAAAGCAGGAGGGGATAATTGCGAAGTTTTATTAGACGTGCTCAATGGTTAGGACTAACGTGTGATGGCTGTTTAATGGCAAGAGAAATTAAATACTCATGAGCTTGATTTCTCCACCAAAAACAACTCACTTTATGAATTATATAGCATTTATTGCTTATACTGAAGTGTTTTTTAAAATGATTTTTGAAAGCAATTATTCACTCAAGGGCAGTGAGTAATAACAGTGCTCCCCAACTCGACCTCCACCCTGCAGGTATGCACCCTCTACACGCCCACCTGTTAGCACCGAAACGCATAGCCTCTCGGCGGGTGACGGGAGGTGGCTTGTACTCGGACTTGGGGTAATCGTCATCATCGACTGCCCCGTTCCCTTCGCCTTCGCTCTGCCCGCTCGTGCTCTCCCCCCTGCCACGCGACGTCCTGTCCGTCTCCTCCCCCCCTTCTTTGTTCTCGGCATCAGCCTCCTCCCCTTCCTCCTCTTCATCCTCGCCTTCCCCCTCGCGGAACTCCACCTCAGCCACCAGGTAGGCACCTTGCGTGGCCAGCACCTTGCCCCAAAAGCGGCAGCGCTGCAGTGGCTGTTCGTCCACAAGCTGCTTGAGAGCGAGCAGGATGCGGAAGGTCTCCTCCCGGCCCAGCCCTACGCCGGCTTGTTCCCAGTAAAAGGCCTGCTCCAGGAGATTTGGCAGCGGAGACTCCACCTGCATGGCACAACCAACACCATATTCACTGCAGCCGGCTTGTCGCAGCTCTTTACAAATTATATCCTACAGCCGCTACATAACCAAGTGATTCCCCAATGGGATTACAGATGTATGTATGTATGAATGAGTGATTAGCCTGAGTACCATCTCGTCGTCAGGGTCGTCGTCTGTCTTGTCATTAGCGGCTGGAAAGAGGCCTCTCTGCAGCTTTGCGAGTTCATCCTGAGCATTGGTTGTCCGCTCATCCCGGAACGTGGTGGCCACACCTGCCATGCGCGAGCGCTTCACTTCACGGCTCAGCTCCTCGAACATGTCCAGTGCTCCATTCGGCCTCTCGTCCAGCAGACGCGATAGGAGGCTCGCCAGGTGATCGTACCTGCATCAGGTGCAATGAGTGGCTATGGAAACTGTGGGGTACGGCTGCATTCACGTTAATGTATATATATTTAGCAGTTTTTCTCCGCATACTTTAATACTATGGCATATGAACAACATCATGCATACGTGAGTTATTTCCTAGACAAGCTATTATGGTAGGTAGAGTGCTTTTAGCTATATTTACAGGCACTGATCGCTGTGCTGGTCAAACACCGCATTTTTACATGAAATATTCATTCCTAACAGAGAGTTAAAGCATAGCACTAATGTGAGCTATAAACAGTAAACACTTTCCCACAACTCAAGCATTACAGGAAATGATGTCTGCACGTGGTAGCGCTTGCTATGATGATCCAACTTTGCAGAAACTGTTGGCATCCGAAGTTGTTTGTACAATTATACTGTACTGCACTCTCCCTGGGACATGCCCGATAATGGTTTGTGTTATTACTCCAGCATGTCAGCAAATCAGCGGGCTTGTTTTTTTTCTTTGAACCAGGGACAAATTCCATAACTGTAATTTCGTTCAAATCGAACCTGATTGCTGGGAGTGTTTGGTCAAATGCATACATGTCAAGCTACAGTACTTATCAATCATAAGCAGGAATGTGTACGTTGGCTGTATCCTTCCAGAGAGCAATACAAGCGACTCTTGTGGAGTATGTATGTCTGTTCAACGTCTTTCTTACCGTACGTATTCAAGCGTGCTAATCAGAGGTGCGGGGAAAGGACAACAAACTAAACACAAAAAGCAGTTCTAAAGAAATGAAACGCCTATTTAGTTACGTAATCTATACAATTAACATCCTACCTAGCCTTTAGAACAGACCTTCGTGCGGAATGTGGAAACTTTAGTGACTTGCCCAGAGAGTGCCGTCTGCATCATGAATCAACAATCACTATTACCAGGTGTGTTTAATTGAGATCGTTGAAGTGGCTATAGCGGCTGTGGTTTTCACCTCGTTTAGCTGCATTTGCAATGATATATGACAAGCCAAAGCAAACAGCAAAGCTACCGTATTGGCAGTTTATCAGCACATCAAAGTTGTGTTAATTACGTAGATTAAAAAAACCGTTGTTAATAATACAATGCCATTAAATTTGTTGACAATGATAGCGCTTAACACGTAGGCTTTCGCGACCAATATTATTCATAATAAAGGTTTTTGGGTTAGATCGCGTTTATTTATAAATGTGTCGTAACCCTCCACCACCCGACACGGCCAATCAGCAAAAAAAGTGTCACGTTGACAAAAGACAAATAATTCACTACTTCAGCCCACCGGTGTGTTGAAGAGTTAATCCACATTTACAGTTTGAGTACGACGTTTCGCTGGTAAATACTTCCAGCATCATCGGGCAATTCGCCAGAATGGTAAAGCCCTCGCTTGCTCCCGGTTTTATATAGAGCAGCAGGGTGACGTCATCACTTAACTCATCAGGTGCAGTGATTAGAGGCGGAGGGGGGGGGTAATGTAATTATATAATCGATTAGTAATCAGTCATTGGTTATGATTAGTAATGAGTTGTAGATTAGTAATTCTTTAAATCAAAATGTAATGTGTATTATTTAATAATACGCTTCCAGGCCGCACTAAGCCGGTAGCTGTCAGAGCGATTAAAGTTATTCTTGTTCCTCTCAATTTCAATGGATTCTCTAATTAGTCTTTGCCAGTAATAATTAGTTTTACACACCACTGCAACATTGTCAAAATCAATTGAGTGTCCTTGTTGACAAGCATGTTCTGCCACTGCCGACAGTTGTGTTTGAGATAATTTAATATTTCTCTGATGTTCTTTTAGTCTTACGCTGATGTTACGTCCCGTCTGCCCAATGTAGCAGCTGCCACATGAACAATTAATCCGATATACACCTTCTGTTGATAGTTTAGGTAATGCGTCTTTAGTGCAAGATACTAGTTTTTGAATTTTGTGTACTGTACCAAATCTTACTGTAATGTTTTGCTTTTGCAAAACGCGGGCTAATTTGTCAGTTACTCCTGAGATATATGGAATTTTTATTGTTTTAACAATCTGGTCGCTTTCAGTAGTATTGCTTTGCGATCGTGATTTGGCATTCAGTGCTCTGTTAATTTGAGCATTATTGTAGCCATTCTGTCGTAGTGCGTCTTTAACGTGTTTAATCTCTCTCACTAGACTCTCACCATCTGACACTGTTTTCGCCCGATGTACGAGCGTCTTGATAAGAGAGGATTTTTGAGCTGGATGATGATGTGATTCTGCATTCAGATAGGCATCAGTGTGCGTTTGCTTTCTGTAAACGCTGTGTGTTATTTTACCGTTTAGGCCATGTCCAAGCAAAATATCTAGGAATGGGAGTGTGTTATTCACCTCCATTTCCATGGTGAACTGGATGGCCGGGTTTTGTGCATTGAGATGATTTAGAAAATCATTAAGTGTATCTTTACCATGTGGCCAGACAACCAAAGTGTCATCCACATACCTAGCACTGCCAATGTTATTATGCTGAAATTATCTATATATTAAAATACTACTCTACACCCAGTCTCCGTGCACCACCAATTAGAAGGGTCGCCAGTGGGAGACTAGTGAGTGTGTGATGGAGTTGTATCGGTGAGTGGTACGTCTGCTGAGTGGTGATGTGAGTGGTGAGTGTGTGATGGAGTTGTATCGGTGGGTGGTACGTCTGCTGAGTGGTGATGTGAGTGGTGAGTGGAAGGGGAATTGTATCGGTGAGTGGTGAGTGTGTGATGGAGTTGTATCGGTGAGTGGTACGTCTGGTGAGTGGTAATGTGAGTGTGTGATGGAGTTGTATCGGTGAGTGGTACGTCTGGTGAGTGGTGATGTGAGTGGTGAGTGTATGATGGAGTTGTATCGGTGGGTGGTACGTTTGGTGAGTGGTGATGTGAGTGGTGAGTGTGTGATGGAGTTGTATCGGTGGGTGGTACGTCTGGTGAGTGGTAATGTGAGTGTGTGATGGAGTTGTATCGGTGAGTGGTACGTCTGGTGAGTGGTGATGTGAGTGGTGAGTGTGTGATGGAGTTGTATCGGTGGGTGGTACGTCTGGTGAGTGGTGATGTGAGTGGTGAGTGTGTGATGGAGTTGTATCGGTGGGTGGTACGTCTGGTGAGTGGTGATGTGAGTGGTGAGTGTGTGATGGAGTTGTATCGGTGAGTGGTACGTCTGGTGAGTGGTGATGTGAGTGGTGAGTGTGTGATGGAGTTGTATCGGTGGGTGGTACGTCTGGTGAGTGGTTATGTGAGTGGTGAGTGTGTGATGGAGTTGTATCGGTGGGTGGTACGTCTGGTGAGTGGTGATGTGAGTGGTGAGTGTGTGATGAAGTTGTATCGGTGAGTGGTACGTCTGGTGAGTGGTGATGTGAGTGGTGAGTGTGTGATGGAGTTGTATCGGTGGGTGGTACGTCTGGTGAGTGGTGATGTGAGTGGTGAGTGTGTGATGGAGTTGTATCGGTGAGTGGTACGTCTGGTGAGTGGTTATGTGAGTGGTGAGTGTGTGATGGAGTTGTATCGGTGGGTGGTACGTCTGGTGAGTGGTGATGTGAGTGGTGAGTGTGTGATGAAGTTGTATCGGTGAGTGGTACGTCTGGTGAGTGGTGATGTGAGTGGTGAGTGTGTGATGGAGTTGTATCGGTGGGTGGTACGTCTGGTGAGTGGTGATGTGAGTGGTGAGTGTGTGATGGAGTTATATCGGTGGGTGGTACGTCTGGTGAGTGGTGATGTGAGTGGTGAGTGTGTGATGGAGTTGTATCGGTGAGTGGTACGTCTGGTGAGTGGTGAGTGTGTGATGGAGTTGTATCGGTGAGTGGTACGTCTGGTGAGTGGTGATGTGAGTGGTGAGTGTGTGATGGAATTGTATCGGTGGGTGGTACGTCTGGTGAGTGGTGATGTGAGTGGTGAGTGTGTGATGAAGTTGTATCGGTGGGTGGTACGTCTGGTGAGTGGTGATGTGAGTGGTGAATGCAAGGGGAGTGGTTAGTGGCACGAGGCACGTATTGACACGAGTTACGCTAGTAACCATGACAAATATTATCTTGTTCATGATACAGATTTTTACGCCAATTTTGATGATAATGATGACAATGATGATTAAGGTAATTTTGGAAATGTTCTTGATGATAATGTCGATGGTCCTGCTACGAAATGACTTCACAGGCACGAAGAGGAACACATTGGAGGACAAGAGAACAAACACAAATGACAGCGATCGCGTGAGCTGCGAGGACAAGCGGGATTGGGCAGGACACGTCGCCAGAAGGGAATGACGGTCGGTGGACGAGGCTGGTGAGAGAATCGCAGCCAAAGGATGGAACGCGCCCAGAGGAGACGCGATGAGATGAACCGCGGCACCACAGGAACCGCGGAGGGGGGCGCTTCACCCAGCAGTGGATAGAACATGGCGGATCATCTTATCGATGCAGGTGATGTTTGGGCTGATGATGGTAACTGTGGTGGTGGTGGTGGCGATGGAGCAGCCCCTGTGCCCACTCACAGCGAGGTCTGCGCGCCGTCGCCACCCGCCTTGAGCAGGAACGCCTTGGCGCTCTCCTCCGCCACGCAGCGCTTCGCCATGCCCGCCGCTCCCTCCGCCGCGTCCATGGTGACCCGCGCCTAACGTGTGACTCGCGCGGAGACGGCTACACGAACCCAAAGCCTCCGCAAAAGCTCGCGGTACGCGGTACGCGGGGATGGAGTTTTGAACGAAAGTCGCCGAAACCTCCTCCTTGAGAACCTCCGCCGCTGGGACGCCGCTGCCGCCGCACGCCGTTGCCAGGCGACCGACGCGGCCGCGTTCACATTTCCCAGCGCGGATAGGCGCGGGCCGTGGTCGAGCGCCGCGATTGGCTGCGGCGCGCGTGCGGTGGATGACGTCGGCGTGGTTGTTTGTCGTCGAGGGGGAATCCGATGAGCTAGTTAGTTCATAGTTTCATTTATTTGGTATAGCCCTGTGAGCCATTCGGCTCTTGAATCGGGTGCAACCGCAACAAACAAAAAACATGAACAAGAAAACATCTTAAAGTGATTATGTGACTGTGCAAACAGAAAATCCAGGAAAAAAAACATCAAAATATTCCTGAAATAGCACCGTACACCAACGCTGTGTGCAAAAAAAATGCAAGCCAAATAACAACAACCACCACAAGACAACTAAGATTAAGGCCATCAGTCTAACTCCGTACTACAATAAACAAAAACATGGCCAAAACAAAAAAAACGTTTTCGAAATCACCAAAATAAAAGCCATAAATGCAATGTAACAGTGATCATAGGGACTGTGACCGAATTTTTTACAATAAACTACATAAATACATTATAACACCAAAATCTAGAGCCATATTTTAGGCCACTGAATAGCAGTGGCAGCTAGGGGTGTACAACTCCTCGAGCAGTTTTGAGTGAAGATCTCATAGGTAGTGATTCAAGTTGCAGTTTATTGGCAATAGCATTCCAGACCCTGGGGGCATCAATAGCAAAGGCCCTTCCTCCAGTTTTTGTACGGCAATAGGGAATGTGAAGCTGGTAGATGAGCGAAGACCTGAGGTCAAATTTGTTCTTTGAAACAGAGAGGAGATCCAGCAGGTAGTCTGCGGATTTTTTTGTAAGTACATCGTGAATAAATAAGATCTGGTGCACAAGCCGTCGAACATTAAGAGATGTTAAGAGCTACGAAGAGCTTTAGTCGCACGTGTCCCAGTATGGGCACGGGGTCGGAACGTTACAGCGACAACAAACAGTACAAAAAAATACGATAGGAGTGCAAAGTATAGGAAAGGTAAACAAATAACTTAAATATATATACAAATAAAACTAAACTCTCTTTATCTTTTGATTTAAAGCTTTCGTGACTGCAGGGATTCATATTCTTTATCTTATTCTTGGTTCTTTCGGTAAAGTCACGTAGAAGGGAAACAATAAAATAAGGCTTTCGCGACCAATATTATCCATAATAAAGGCGGTTATTATATTTATTACCCATAATAATCTTCACTATCCATGTATTAACTTTATTATCAATAATAAAGGGCAATGCTGGCAAATGGCCTGATGAAGCTGGTTGTCATCACCAGCGACACGTCACACAGCTCATCGTTGTCGCGGGCTTGCTGAAGCAGTCAGTCACTGGCCACGTTCTATGTACGTGACAACGCCGTTTAATTGTGTGTCGGGCGATGGCGGGCTCAACGACACCACATTTACATTTACGCGATCTCACCCAACAACAACAAATCCCTTTGACGCGATGGTAACGTGCGGCGGGGGGTAGGGGGGTGACGTCACGTTTAAAGGGACCCCCCCGCCCCACGTGACGCGGCCACGTGGTGGCGCCCCCTGGCGGGACCCGGCACCGCGCGCGGCTCGGACGGGGGGAAGAAGAGGAGGGGGAGGAGGGGGAGGGGGGAGGAGGGGGAGGAGGGGGGAGGAGGGGGAGGAGGGGGAGGAGGGGGGAGGAGGGGGAGGAGGAGGGGGAGGAGGAGGGAGGAGAGGGAGTAGGGGGAGGAGGGAGAAGGAGGGGGATGAGGGAGAAGGGGAAGGAGGGAGGAGGAGGGAGGAGGAATCCAACCGGAGGAGTTGGCGGCGTTGGGAGCGAGGCGCGGCTGCGCGTGGACCTGGCAGCCCCCCGCGTTCGGGACGCCCCAGACGGGGAGATGTGAATGAGAGGAGGGGGGCGAGGAGAGGGCGATGGAGGCGATAAACGAGACGCCGGGGGTGAAGCGGTTGTTTTGGTTTAATTCATGGGGCTTATAACGGGGACTCCGGAGGAGCGCGGTCACTGCGCAGTCTTTGAGTCAGAGGCGTCATTGAGCCCTTGTTTACCAGCAGCAGCCGCCGCCTGCTCTCCCGAGTGTTCGCCAGCACCACCAGGAGGGGTCACCACAACAACCGTCATCAGCACCGACTACAGACGCCGGACTCAGACCCTCCCTTGAGCCAGCTCGGACATCCAGCCCTGGACCGGGCAGCAGCTCCGGACAACACCACAACACCACCACCCCTAAACCCGGACTGCGACACGGCCAGCAGCCCATTCCTGCGGCTCGTACCTCCAGCCTGGCGATTCTTCACAGTCCACTACCTCCGGTTCCCGGACCTGGGGACCGAACTCACCACCGGGACCATGACCCAGCCACCTGCTTAGACCATCTTCAGGTCAGGACATAGACCTGCCCAACATTCCCTCTATCACTCCAGAGGACGTTAACCTAGCCACCCCCATTGCTCCTGACCCCCCGTCACCCCAACACATCCATCAGTTCCTCTAAGAGTCCGGGAACCCACGGCCTCCACCATACGTCCGGAAACCGAACCCAGTCTTCGTGCCAGCATCGTCAGCCCGAGGCCCGGCCACCTGCCCTCCGCCAGCCCCGGGGTCGCGTCGCGGCCCCATGCTGTCCCACAGCGCGGCGTGCTGCGCTCACGACGCGATTTGCCCACCGGGCGAGGTGGTGAGGGGCCGCTACGTGAAGCGAGGGGAGCCCGGCCCCACCCCGAGCGGTGAGTCCCGGGGAGGTGATGCAGACTTGGGCATAGCATAGGGGGAGACCGGAGACAGAAGGAGGCGGGCTGGAATAAAGCGGAGAAAGAACGGGGACGGAGAGAGGGTGAGGATTTGATGGCGCAGGACTGGAGACGACTGGGAGAGGAGGGAGGATGACACAATGACAGGTGACAGGAGAATGAGCTAAAGTTGATACTGTGGCTAGAGAAGAATGTGAGGAAGGATAGGACAGGCGGATTTAGAAGACAAGAGGAGGCATTAAAGGAGAGAAGATAAGAACTGGACATGCGAGAGCAGGATAGGGCAGGGGGAGGAAACGCAATGGGACTGGGATCGATTGGGGAGCAGACAAGGAGGGTCAGAACGAGGCACGGGGAGGCGTGATGGAACAGCGCAGCGAGAATGGGAAGGAAGACAGCAAAACAAAGGGAGAGATACGAGGACACACGACCGGACAGAGGGGGGCAGGAGTGGGGACGATAGGGGATCACCCGGGGCAGAGGGGGGCCGGGAGGCGTGACAGCTGTGTTTACAGGGGTAGCTTTCCGATTGGGGTCAGTTGCCTGCGATTTCGAGTACATAATGATACAGATTATTCTGTTGTTTGTGTCGTTCTTACATAATTCGTAGTTAAGCCTTCAACAGTGTAACTGGAGCATTCATTATACGACATGAGACAGACCGATGCGAAGTCACACACACTTGGGAAACAGGCGTCTCGCCCCAGCCTGTCTGGGGTGCTACATTCCTCCTCCCACGTCCACGAGGTGTTTACGCGATCTGAGTCATCAAAGCAGGTTTCATTCATTCCGGGAGCTCCACGCGTGGCTATTCTTTCAGTTACATTCGTTAAAGTTTGGGACTTTTATATGCGCGGAATCTGGTCCACCCACGTGAGCAATGATTATAAATTACGACGCGACCACGTGATTTCTCGGTGCATTCTCTTCAGCCGCATCACAGGGTGTGGACTTTTTGTTGTTTTTGGATTTATAAAAAAATAAAATTACACGCATGCGATGGAAGGGGAGACTGTATGAGGAGATTAGGTGCAAATAAATTGCATTCGTGAAGAGAAACCATCCCTCCTTGCGTGTCCCACGAATGCAATTACCGGACCAATACCTTTTATGTTGAAATATCTCAGCGGAAAAATCCCTTGGGATGGAACAACTCGTCTGCAAGGGTGTCCAGGGTGTGAATTGCCGCATACACAGCAAACACCGAATAACGCACGTGTGTTAATGGGTCTCATAACTGATCCATATTTGTTCTTGGGTTAGGCCACGTAAACCAATATTGATCTTTGTATTGGCTACGAAAACAACCAACATTGTTTGTCTCGCAACTCAATACAGCGGGCACGTATGTGGACACACTTTAACTAACTTAATAGTTACGCTGCTAATTAATGAATAACAATATAATATGAATTACAGCCCTTAAAAAAATCCTCCGCTGGATAAAGGCATCCCCACGCCATGTTGGTCATTCGACCATTCTTCACACTGGCCACGTGGTGCGCTGATCAAGGCGGGAAGCATAGATGTTGGAGCATAGTACAGCACAACAATGTATTTTGCTGCGCTGCCACCTGCTAAGAAAGTAGCCTCACAGCAGCAGCATATAGCCGCCGTTTTATGCGTGGTGGTCACCCAACGTCCGAGCGCTATGCAGGCCCCATTCTGCTAGGCTCCTGAGATTGAGTGAAATGGAGTGCATTCACGTTGATTTGATCATTGGTAGGTTAGAATGAAGGGAAGAGTATTCAATGACGAATGTTTACTCTCACCATTGGTGCAGACTTAAATATAGAAAGCCGCTTAAATACGTAATGCATTTGAATGAAACATAAGGACATTCTAAAATGTGTTAATTTAACAGGCATTTTCTTTGGTTCTTTCGGTAAAGTCACGTAGAATGAGAATAAAACAATAAATTGATAAAATAAAATAACACAATAATATTCTCACGACGTTTCGGCCACAACACAAGCGGCCTTCATCAGGTGAAGGGACGAGACTGTCTGCGCTGTCCTACCAGACAGTCTCGTCCCTTCACCTGATGAAGGCCGCTTGTGTTGTGGCCGAAACGTCGTGAGAATATTATTGTGTTATTTTATTTTATCAATTTATTATTTTATTCTCATTCTACGTGACTTTACCGAAAGAACCAAAGAAGATGAATCATTGCAGTCACGAAAGCTTTAAATCGAAATTTAACAGGCATTGTGGTGTTACAGCAGAGCCCATTTGTTATTGTATCTACAACAAAAAACAGTTCTCATTATTCGCTTTGAAATCCATTGCAAACAGAATTTGCGAGACTTTACAAGATGAGTTTACTGGCGGCTTCCTCTTTCCAGGCATTTTCGAACTCTCTGAAGGCTCAGAGCCCCGCGTCGCTCAACAAGGAGGGCCGGGCCCGGGGGTGGTGGGGAGTTTACCATGGGCAGGGCCCCTTCGCGTGACACCACTCAGCCCCAGGCGCCCACGCGGCGCGATTGTGTCGCTCGGCTTGCTGCTTCACCCTGGAGAGAGTCAATAGGCATTGTGTGTGCGAGGCAGGAAAGTAAGTGTCCGCCCCATTGCTATACGACCCTTGACGCGAGCCGCTGCCAGAGTTCTAGTGCGCCCCAATGGAGGTGACAACTCATAAGGTGTGACAGGGACAGCTTCTTCTGCCTTCTCACGGCAAAGTTTCGCAAAACTGCGGGAAAAGTAGGGGGACCCCCCCCCCCCCAGCGGTTTGGGTCCGCGGTGCCGCTCCGAGTTCTCCAGAGGGACGCGCGCGGTGCTTGCAGCCACCGCTATGCCTACAGGTAAAGGGGTCGTCGTGGTCATACCGAAATCGCACGCGACACGGCGAGCGACGTTAATAAACGCTGGCGTCGCCGTTGAGGCCGTGGTGTTCTTCGTACGGCTGCTGATGTCGAAGTCGAGCAACAACTGTCATTTTACTTTGAAGTGGTTGATGGGCCACATGAGCAGCGGAGTGCTAATAACCCTTTGTGTTCGTGAGTCGGGCATTGAGTCGCTGTGTGTTCCATGGTCGGTGCTGGGTGATCAATGTCGTACACCGGAGAGATTTTAATCGATGTGCAGTTTGTGTAGCATTGATCAACGGAATGAATGTGTCATTTTGAACTGCTGGTATGACGAATACTATAGCATGCAGTAGGTAGCGTTCATTCATTATATGCAGACATAATTATAGGATCAAATCTGCCTAAATGTGTTTTTTTAAGTGTCCGTATACATAACTCCTCTTATCCGCAAACGTATTACCCATAATCCCTATTATCCGCGGAAGTGGTAGGGTCTGCAAAAAACATTTTACCCACTGCCATATTCGTCCTGTTATCCACCGTCATATGCAAAGTTAATTGCAGAACGGCGTCCAATTATCAGCAATTTTTTTTTCTCCACAAAGTGGAGTGAATTCACGGATCGCCCCGCGAATGAGCCGTGATTTTGGTCCCCCGCGTCGCTGTGGACAAGAGTTATCCTGCACCTGGTAGCTGTTTTGAAATGCACTTCTTTTAAAAGTGACATCGCAGTGTTCAGAGCGCAGGATTTAACGAAGCCTACACAGGTTCCACAGATTGTCAGCAGCCATCCCAACGCACCCATCATTGTGCTGAATACGACATTGTGTAGGATGATGCCTAAGTTTCATAAGCTGTTTTGGCATATGTACTCCTGTAATGTATTGTATTACGATCAGCATTATATGTGTTAGTTTAAGTGCCAAAAATACATTTCAGAAAATGGTAAAAATAATTTTGGCTACTGCTCTCCTTTGGAATTAGCAAGCAATGCCGGTTATTCATTTCGGAGTTAAAGTACGCGACAGCTATGGATATTCAGCATCAACTTACCGTAACATTGTTAATTAATCTGTAAAAACTTATAGACTGCCCCTATTTAAAAAAAATATATACGTTCCACGAGTCCTGTGGCTTCTGGTTCTTGGAATCAGCAGTTTCCATCCATCACCAGTGTGATCTGAAAGTCACGAACAGCAAATCCATTAATTATTCAAGAATAGACATGGGCCGAAAAGTTAGTTTACGGAGAGAGAAGCACGTTATTATTTTCGTGGTAAACTAATATTTGTCGACCTAAATGAATAAGCCATTGTTTTCCAGAGTCATCGCTACATTTGCATAATTGCTGAACAATTACTACAATGGCCAGCATGTCTGCAGCAGAATTCCCAGTGGACGCTCACAATGCACACATTCTGAGCCGTGTAGGCGGGGGTACGGGTAATCCGGGCCGAAAGTGCTGCGAGGCGTCACTTGGCGCGCCTGACGGTCGCTGATGGGACACGCGCGCGCGTGTGGCCACCCGCCAGGCCTCATGGCTCCACTGGGTCACGGGAGGCCATCGGCGTCTCCGCGTCTCGGTCGCGCCGACGCCGGGAGCAACGCCCGGAGCCAGGGACTTGGGAATGGAGCGCTGCCCGTGAGCCCTCGAGGAAGTGTGCAGGTGGCTAACGGCGCGGTGGCAACGGCGCACGGGCCCGGCCGGGGGAGGAGAGGCGCGCTGGCACCGAGGGAGAGGCGGCAGCAGCAGCAGCAGCGCCTGTCGGGGCCTCCCCACAACCAGGGCTTGCTGCATGGCTCCCGTGAGTACTACGCACCACGAGTCAGGATATTTCTTAATCTTGGCGAGGTGAATCTCAGAGAAATTCCAAAACCCCCTGGGCTGCGAGGTGGCCAGACGATGTCAGGGCAGAAAATGGGTTGGTAACCCGTGGCGCTACGGACTTCTCAGCGGTATCCACTCATATGGGCTGTCCAGTATCTGTGTGAAAGGAGCCACAGCCATAAATAAAACTGAGTTTGCAAGATTAATAGCACAGTGAGCTAACCACTGCAGCGCCACTCCTCCACCATACACTTTAAAATTAAAAGTCTATTTTGAAAGGCAAGTTATTTTTGCATGATTATAAATGCATTTATTCGTATCAAGCCATCAATCCATGAATATCGTAAAGGTGCTAGACTCGCGCCAAGTGGTTTGTTTTACATTCACAAAGTTTCCTTTGTTGCCTTTGGATTTCTCACGAAACTCCGTCTAACTTTTTGACGTAACATTTTGTCAGTCGTCTGCGATATATGCTTGGCGTCACGTGCCGCGTGGCTTGGCAGGCGGGCTGTAATGTTCGTGTCGTGGCGCGTTACGCTCCGGCGAGAACGTTCTCCGTTACGATTCAGCATGTGTGCGCGTTAACACCTTGCTTCCTCAAATTGTGGTGCCGATTTCCTCTTCATTGTTACTCTCGTTTCATTTTGAAACGGTACAAACACATTCCAGTTAAGCCTGGTAAAATAAACATTTACAAAGCAACGCGTCCCCATGCTCCTATCAATTCGAGGTGCTGGCCCAGTGGTGTAATGTACACATTGTGATGGCAGGGCCATTCGTCCCATAATGACAACAAATTGACTGTTATTCCAAACGCAGTCTTCTCTTGTTACCGATAACATTACAGGACCAAATTCCAGGACCGTGGAAAAAAAAAACCCAGAATCCTGACCCTACACTGTTGACAGAACAGAAAGTTGTGTTTGAAGAATACCCCAGCCGACAGAGCGTTCGCCCCGGCACCGTGTTCACTGTGGTCCAAGAGCACAGAGCGCTGGTCGGCAGGAGCTGGAAATAGTTGGAGGTTTTGAGCGAGCGGAGTCGTCCACATGGAAACGTGGCCCGGTCGACAGCCCCGTGGCCCCTTCACGCCCGCTTCTCATTAGCCCCCCCCCCTCCCTCTTAGCACCCCCTTCAACCCCACCGGAGCACGGCCAAGTCCGTCCACCGCGTCTACATCAACACACAAACACGGTCATTGTCGTCAGGCTATGCCAACCCTCACTCTTTTTTTCTCTCCATCGTCATCATCATTATTATTATGATGTAAGTCCCAAGGCCCACGGCTACTCGCCGTGTGATCGTTGCGCATTGTGCGTTCGCCGTGGCGACGACGTTCCCAATCCTGCGCGGTGAGAACAACCGGCCGGCTGTAGCCGCACGAGCGGCCGGGTTCGCGGCGGGGCTATTGTCTGAAGACAATCGGGGGGGCGCCGCGTGGCGTCAGCGCTGCACCTCGACTGGAAAGAATGCAAACTGCGATCGGCTCTAGGAATCTGGGGACCCGTGGGGGAACTCCCAATTTCATCGTTTCAAAGAGAGAGAGAGAGATGGCGTACCTCCAAAATAACTCCACCGGTGGACATTGTAATATTGGCAAAGGCTGGGAATGTCTCGTGAGTTGTACATCCGTTGAGGTGTGCGGTTCAAATGTCCTCGCGATTCGAGCCCTCGCAACGACATCGCGTGGCTGTCCGCATCCGTCTGCGCGTCCGTGTCTTTGTCGCGTCCCTTTGCTGTAGCTTCACCCAACGTTCATCGTCCGCTCAAGAATTCGCTCCCTTAGACTCGCGTCCAACTTCCCCGTGGCACGCATGGCGACCGCAAGTGGCAGCAGCCCGTGTGGGCACGGCCCTGTGGACACGGTACGCGAAGTCGTGGAGCACGCTGCTTCAATTGGCGTGAACACCACGCCCATCTCCGGCAGGGCTCGATCGCCCCAACCCGCCCCAGGCAGGCCGGGCAGGTCCGCCGATGGGCCGGGCGGACGGCCTGGGTCCGATCGTCCGGGCGTGCTGGTCGCAGCACGCTGCTTTAATTTAAACGGCGGCTGCAAGCGTTTAAATTGCTTCTTGATCGCTGGAGCAGCTGGGCAAGCGGTTGAGTCACAGTCCCGCAGTGCTGCGAAGCTCCCTGACCCGGACAGGGGGCTGGGTGGAGGGGTAGACCCCATGATTTACTGGAGGCCCCACGGCAGCGCCAGGTAGGAGCTGTACACAGCGAGCCTCTCAAACACGCTTCACAAAGTACACTTTTGTTGTCTCGTTATGCAAATATTATCGCTGCCCCACCTACCAAGGGATTAACAACGCATTAATAATATCGTGTTTTTTACGCTTAGGATGAATGCATGGAATTGCAGTCTAGAGTACTCCATCAGTGTATCTTGATTCATGCAGATTGTATGAAGATGATATGCTAATGTTCCATTTAGGCTATTCAGGACAAAATTGTACAAACTAGACAAACAAAATTAAGAGAAAGCACAATGAGATGGTCAAACCTCTGAGGGTTCAGATTTTACAAACTAGACAAACAATTTATGCAAACCAACACACCTGAAGACGACCGTTTGAGTTATGGTCGAAACGTCGTGAGAATTTTTTTATTGTTTTATATATAGTTTATTATTTTGTTGTTTCCCTTCAACGTGACTTTACCGAAAAAGCTAAGAATATGAATTACTGCAGTCACGAAAGCTTTAAATCAAAATTTAGACAAACAAAATTAAGAGAAAGCACAATGAGATGGTCAAACCTCTGAGGGTTCAGATTTTACAATCAGTGCAATACTCTGTATAATACAGCACTTTGTAACTAAAATAACGGCAGAAATAATAACTGCTGCTGATGATGATGATGATATTGCTGCTTCTCTATAATTTCCCAGGTCTCCCTTGTAATAATATTGGGCTATAATTTGGTGTTGTAGTGTGTGAAAAAAAATGTCATTTGCACGTGTCAAATTTGTAAACATTATGAACTCTGATCTATTTGCAGCCTGGGCATCGTATGTAAATGGCTTCCATCCTCATAATTATGGGATGACAGATCACTTGGAATACGCGTTTGTATTTTGTATTTAACAAATGGGCATTGCCTTACAATACCCATTTGAATTTCGCACTTCTTTGTGGCGTTCAAAACCACATTTTGGTTCATCAGGGGGGCCGGAGGGCAGAGGGGCGGTGGCAAGAGGCGGCTGAGTAGCCCGTGCCGGGGAGAGGTAACTGAGGCTCTCGCGAGAGCCATGGGCGAGGTAACTGAGGCTCTCGCGAGAGCCAGGGGAGAGGTAACTGAGGCTCTCGCGAGAGCCAGGGGAGAGGTAACCGAGGCTTTCGCGATAACCAGTGGAGAGGTAACTGAGGCTCTCGCGAGAGCCAGGGCAGAGGTAACTCAGGCTCTCGCGAGAGCCAGGGGAGAGGTAAGTGAGGCTCTCGCGAGAGCCAGGGGAGAGGTAACTGAGGCTCTCGCGAGAGCCAGGGCAGAGGTAACTGAGGCTCTCGCGAGAGCCAGGGGAGAGGTAACTGAGGCTTTCGCGAGAGCCAGGGGAGAGGTAACTGAGGCTCTCGCGAGAGCCAGGGGAGAGGTAACTGAGGCTCTCGCGAGAGCCAGGGCAGAGGTAACTGAGGCTCTCGCGAGAGCCAGGGGAGAGGTAACTGAGGCTTTCGCGAGAGCCAGGGGAGAGGTAACTGAGGCTCTCGCGAGAGCCAGGGCAGAGGTAACTGAGGCTCTCGCGAGAGCCAGTGGAGAGGTAACTGAGGCTTTCGCGAGAGCAAGGGGGGAGGTAACTGAGGCTCTCGCGAGAGCCAGGGGAGAGGTAACTCAAGACACTTGGCACAATCCGTAGCGCAGGAAAGGGCTCCTTCTACCTGCTGCGACGTTGATCAGACACGAGCCAGTTTAAAGTTTAAAGTCTCGCCGCCGCGTTGCGTCTCGTTAACACAATTATCCCACGATGCATATTTAACGGCTCGCAGCTTTGCGGGTCATTTTAGCGGTCAAGTGGCCACGGGTGAAATGTGCGAGCACAGTCCTCCTCGTGGCGGAGATTCTGGACTCACGTGACATCGAAATCTGAGCGCGTCGTCAGACGCTGTATGGAAGTGTGACATCTGCCATTTGTATGATCACAATGCACGTGCTCAATGTATGGGCGGACACGGTGCGTGTGAGCAAAGGTAAAACCCAAACACTGCCCCCTACCCCCCACCCCGCGTGAACTCGAGAGTTGAACTCGGGAGTTGAACTCGAGGCGTGAACGTGCGCCAACAGCGAGCACAGTTGGCGCACAAAGCCAGCGCCACCCAAAGGCTACAGCCGTCGAGATTTAGCATCGGCAAAATTTGCTTCATTTTCCTTGGCAGAGTTAAGCTCATAACACCAGCTTCAGCAACAATTCCAAGCTCCTTTCGTGATTTTATGAAAACCACTTCACAACGACCGCTACTGGAGCCTGCAGCGAGCGTGAATCAATAACAAACGTCAGTGGCCGCCTTGGGCGACTTTCTCAATGATCGTTCCCTTTGATATATCCAGCAGAGCCTCGGCGAGTCTCTCTTTGTTTCCATTAGGGTGCTGCCCTGGGATGTTTGGCCAATTCTATTCAGGAGTGTGTGGCGGGTGGAACCAAACCAGAGTACCCGGAGAAAATCACACGTGAGAGGAGAACCACTCAAAGCCCCCACACAGGTTAAAGGATCCGTTGATGTCCCACATCTCCTCGCCACCCCACAGCCCAAGTCTGCAACACTCAGAATTCACAGGGAGTCTCCCATACGCTTACTCACGAGGCTGTTGGCACGCTTAGCTCCTGACGAGACTGGGCACATTCAGGGTGTACAGTATTTGTCATAGGCCTGTTTGTTATAGTTGATGCGTTGCTGGCGGTGGGATAAAGTGTGAGTAGTCAAGAACTGTGGGACTTTTAAGCTGCCTATTTGAACCTGAGGATAATTGCACTTGGCAGCGAGTGTCCTCTGCCTGCAGTGCCATGAACACAACGTGCAGCGACGATGACCTTTTGACGTTTATGAAGCGGACAACCAGTGACGCGGTCGTTCCGCAAAAAATCCGAGCTCCGTGCGCCCTGCCCCACCGTGCCCCCTGTCCCACCCTGTCCCCTACCCCCTGCCCCACCCTGCCCCCGGCCCCACCCTGTCCCCTACCCCCTGCCCCACCCTGCCCCCTGCCCCACCCTGCCCTGGCGGGTGCCGCGCGCAGCGCCCAGCGGAGAGAACCGTCGGCCCGCGGCGGAGGAGCCGCCGCTGCCCATCGGCTGGTCGGCGGAGCGCACGGCACACGGGCGCCGCTTCTACATCGACCGCAACACGGGCACGACGCACTGGAGCCACCCACGCGAGCGCCACGGCCTGCCCCCCGGCTGGGAGCGCGTGCAGTCTCCCGAGTGCGGCACCTACTACCTGGACCACGCCAACCGCCACGCGCAGTACCGCCACCCGCGGGCGCCCAGGTGAGCCCACAACACGAGTGAACCCGTCAGTACCCGCCACCCGCGGGCGCCCAGGTGAGCTTGCGTGCATACCTACACAAGTGAACCCATCGGTGCTGCATTAGTGAAAGATACTCCTCTCAAATAATCTGCTGCCGCCAATCAGCACTGAACCCATGACCCGGTGATGGGCGTGTTAATGAGCACATTCATGGCTGCCCCATAATGTTTGGGTACGAGGCGGTGGCCAGGGTTGGCATTAGGGGTTAGGGTTGGGGCACTATTGCGTCTAACAGCGGTAAGCACGAGGGGTGGTGTGAGCTCGTCAGCGTTGCCCAGGTGATCTCTTCTGTAGCTTCACCCACGTGACCACACCCAGGTGAGATAATCGTGTGAGGTCTTGCACGGCTCTGCCCAAGTGAGTCTGTGCGTGGCCCCGCCCAGGCGAGCTGGCCCAGGTGAGTCCATCCACGGTGCGGTGGCTCTCCCTGAACACCACGTGACTTAGAACAACAAAACGCCCCCCACTGTGGCCTCGGCGTCCGTCCACGTCGGTGACCGCGTGCGCCCCCCCACCCACCCCTGCCCCTCCGCAGTGAGCCCCACTACGAGGAGCCCCCCCCGGTGCCCCCGCTCTCGTCTCCGCCCCCCGCGAGCTCCGGCCCCGGCGGGGCGTCGCGCAGGGCGCGCCCCGCCGAGCGCCGTGCCGCCGCGCTCGTCCCCGCCAACCCGTACCGCGAGGCCGGCGTGCCCGAGTGGCTGCGCGCGTACGCACGCGCCCCCAGCAAGTACGTGGAGCCGCACGCAGCGCACTGCACTACACCGCAGTGCACTGCTATACAACATTGTGCTGGTCGCACTGCATTATGCCACACTACAGTTCATTGCACCGCGTCAAATTATACACCAACATAATGCACCGCACGAGGCACCCCACACGGTCCCTAAACAACGCCATCGCCACCATCATCACCATCGCCACCATCATCACCATCGCCACCATCATCACCATCGCCACCATCGTCACCATCGCCACCATCATCATCATCACCATCGTCACTGTGTGGTGCGCGCATCACCTCACTCTCAAACGGCACGACTCTCAAACACACGTTTGAGAGTCGTGCATTCAGTACGCTACGAACCAGTGATTGTATTTTCTAGATTGAAAACTCATTTCTTTAGAACTGCTTTTTCTGGTTAGTTTGTTCTCCTTCCCCCGCATCTCCGGTTAGCACGGTTGGCTACGTACGGTGCGAAATAAGTTCAACACACATGCATAACACTGTGTAACAAAACTAAAATTTGTCCCTGTGTAGTAAGTATTATTTCCTAATTGCTTATGCCTCAAAAGTACTAAAAAGGCTATTATTCCCCACAAACTTTGCTTTTGTGACCAGGACAGTGATATGTTTAAATGTACCTATTTTCAATGAGAAGACTTGGTGTGCATTTGTGTCATTCCTTCACGTAAAGTCCTGGTCACAGAAGCAAAGTTTGTGGAGAATAATAGCCATTTTCTGTACTTTTGAGGAATAAGCAATTAGGAAATAACACTTACTACCCAGGGACAAAATCGTGTTACATCGTCAATTATCAGGTCCCACGTTAAGCCACAGCTCGAGGCGCTGCATGGAGCTGCATGTCAATCGGCCACTGTGAAGCGAAGGGACCCGCACATTGACGAGGCTGTAATTTGCGCCGTGCCATCAGCGGACAAAACCTCCACCTCCTTTATTCGAGGTGAATAAATCTTGAGACGTGGGACGGGCCGCTTCACACGGCAGGCCCCCTCCCCAGACCGAGCGCAATCCCGTGGGGCGGGGGGGTGGGGCGGGGGGAGCCGGGGGGGGGGGGGGGCGTGGGGGGCTTCTCCCTGGCAAAGCCGCAGGGCCCCGCCCCGCGCTGTCCAGCAGCAGCATCCAGGCCGAGTCGTCTCAGACGGCGGCTGTCGTCGTTGTCCTCGGGACGCCGTCGCCTCTGCCGCAGCCTGAAGCCGTGGCGCGGCAGCGCCTGTGTGGCGAGGCACTCTCTGCAAACGCTACAATTCCATGTAACGGTTAATCTGCAAGAGTACTAATCTTAGACCATCGTCATCGGTCATGAGCGATCCTCTGCCGGATAAAGGCCTCCCCGTGCCATCACCATATCTCCTTCTACCTCCTCGTTGTGAGAGTGTATCCGGCACCTGCACGCAAGCGGATTTCCTCGCTCCATCTCCAAGGTAGCGAACCTCTCGGTCACGTTCCCTCGCTCATCCGATCCTAAAAGAACTTAAAGGTTGCTGCCGGAAAGGTAGCATCATGGGGAAAACGGAAAAGCAAGGAAATGATGTCACTGTGGTACCAAAGATTAAGGTCGCAAACAGCTTCCTGTTGGGTGTTGTGGCGAGGGGAGGGTGGAGCTGTGAGTAGGATTAAACCCTGACGTTTCACGAGCAAGGTCCAGAAATAACTATAGTGGGTAATGGGCTGAGACACCACGTGCTTTTGCGTGGCATCCGTGTTGCCAGATTAGAAACAAATAAACATGGACACTAATGGGAACAAAAAAGTTATCAATTCCCATAAACATCCTCTCATTATTGCAGACTGCAAAAGGAGCAGCTCTTGAATTTGGAAACTTTTCTTTTCAAATTCTTCCGTTAACCGCGTGGCTGTGAACGGTTGAGTAGAACGTGGCTTCACTTCAAACCCTGAAGAACGTCTTCGATGATATCCGTGTAAGAACAACGCGAGGTTCTACTCTCGTTCCGAACGGGGACTCTGCAAACTCCGACTAATCCTGCCTTGACCTACTGTAAAAAACAAAATCTTAAAAGAGGTGGCCGGGTGGCTCAGAGGTCAGCACTGAGCTAGCGTCACAGAGACCCGGGGTGTGCATTCAGGTTTCAGCGTCCATGGTAACATTGGGCTCCCAAATTGTCGTGAATTTACGTCTCAGCCTGGTCACCAGTGATGGCACAAACACACTCCTAGAGTATCAAATTCCGTATTTTACTTAAATTGGTCAACTTTAATGTCTGAGAATTATAATATCTTGACCTGAACATCTGTATAGCAGGGCGTGAACATCTCAAAAGTAGTTCTGCGATATCACCTTCAGCGGACCATTCTCAAAGATGTGGAAATGCACTGCTCTGCGACAATTCCAAATGGATACTCTTCAAATCATACGTCGTTGAGAGTACCATGTTTTAAGTAAATAATTATGTTTTAAGTAAATACTTTACTTAAAACATTTGACTGTACTTAACGTGAACAAAAACACCGTGTGGACGCAGAGCCAACAACCCCCCCGCCCCCCGTGTTCCGTAGCATCGCTTGCTGGAAGGCGAGCGGGTTTGTGGTTTCTCTCCGTGCCAAGGCGTGGGTTTTCCCAAACGTCGCTAAAACAAACCGCGCGAGGCGTGGGACAATCGGCCCCTTTGAGCGCAGGGCAAAGCGGAATCGCGGGGCCGCCAGGAGGAAGCCGGCCGCAGCGAGACGCCTTCGGCTGCCCCCTTTTAGATCAGCGCCCGGAGTCGCGCGTCCCACGCTCGCGCCGAGCGCGGAACCGCCGGCCACTGGCGCGTACGAGGCACGTGGCGACGGGGAATAATTATCCTCCGGCCTTGTCGCCCTCGATCGTGCCCAGTGCCCGGCTGATCTTGGCAGCCAAAAAGCGCTTAGCCTGGTTAGTGCCTGGGGACTGTCTGGGGATAAGAGGGTGTCAGAGGCTTGGGCAGCGAGGTGCCGAGGAGATGGCGGCACAGAGATGGCTTCTTGATTCGTTTTTGCGGAGATTTGAGTGTCGCCTCTCCGCACGCACGGGTGTTCTCCGTGACCACCGGTTTTCTCCCAAATGCTCTGCTTGTTAATGGAGTTGGCCGAACGTCGCAATGTAGGTCCATCCTGGAAAGGTCTCGAGACTCATTGAGGTTTTCCAGGATAAGTACATGGCATTAGTATTAGTGTTATAGATTATCTACTTGGCAATAGATGTATGGGATACAGCGCGCATGTGTACGAGTACTGGGCCATGGGCAGTATACGTGCTGCAAGTGCTGAAGTAAACTACAGTGGCCCCATGCTCAAACGAGCATTTTGGCAGGGCCCAATCTGTCGCCTTAGCAGCCACCGTTGCTATAACTGCACAACGAATGTGTGCCCATGGGGCGGTGGCATCGTGCTGCTTTGCCCACTGCGCTACGAACCCGGCGAACTGAATTAAATTTCTGGCCATGGCAAACATCAGTGACGAAAGTCTGAACTGGTTACGGACCTTTCAGAGGTTGATTCAGCCTGAAGTGAGTACTTGCTGTGGTGTATAACATCAGCACCGGGGAGACAACTGCGATTGACGTTCCACCCCCCTCACACGCCATTTCATTAAGTGCTCACTCAGCACTTGGCCCAACAGTCGTTGTAAGGCTACCTGTGGGACCTTAGTCTTTGTCTGGTTCCCACGCTCCTCCCAAGCTGCTCTCTCTGAAAGCCACCCACTGGTTGACACTTTCTTGCTTTAAACGACGCTCGTGAAAGACTGCCAGCAGCCCATTACGCAAACCTCCACCAGGGAAGGGTTCACGTGGTTTGAAATCTGTGCCAATCTCTGGATCGTGACGAATCCCACAAATAAGGATTCTTTAATCACCCTGAATTGGGTCGCGATGGAAGCCGAATGGAAGAGACGTTCGCCAAGTTGAGTTAGGGGGCGCGTGAAGCAACAGATATGGGGGGGGGGGGGGGGGGGGGGGCGGGTGGCGTGGATGCTGCTCTCGTAAAACGCTCGCGAACTCTCGCACGGCGCAGCGGAGCCCCGCGCGTTCGAGACACGAGGCGAGGCCTCGCAGATGACCCCCCCCGCATCCCACCCCGTAGTGAGCACGCCAGGAATGTCCCCGCTTGGCGACCTTCAGCACATTCACCTCTCTCCATTGTCCTTTCCTTCCTCGACAAATATTGACCTACTTATTATTATTATTCCTTGCAAGGTACAGGCAGCACAGAGGAACTCGCCTTAAACACACACACACAGACAACACCCCCTGCGTGGGCGTGAAGACTGTTGGTACTAGTTCTGTTTGCGAGCGCCTATTAAGGCCGCAATGGTAGTGAAGGGGGTGCTGCGAGCGGCGCACGGCGCCAGAAGTTAGGTAAATTCCTGGCCACGGATAACTCGTGAACGGAGTGAAGTCATTTGGAGAGGTATTCGTCCTCAGTAGATCGACAAAGGGACCGTCATTCTCTAGATAAAACGATAGAGGGCTGGGTTCACGTGTTGCTTAATGTTCCTGTTCACCCAGTGAGCTGCTGCTCATGTGCCGATGTCTTCACCGGCACATGAGCAGCAGCCACGAGGCCAAGGAGAGCAGAGAAGTCTGTTGTGGGGATGTTCTCCCTCGATGCGATCGATGCAATCGATGCGATTCTCCTTTCCCAAGACGCGCCTCTTGGTTCGCACCGTGCATGCATATGCCGCATTATACACGTGCATAACGCGTTATACACGTGCATAACGCATTATACACGTGTATAACGCGTTATGCGCGTTATGCGCGTTCACAGAGCAACACATTTCCCGTATCACCATACGGGCCACAGGGGCAACGCGGTTGGCGAGCCCCTGTTGCGCGGTGTTTGGTGTGGCCGGCAACGACAACCGCACGGCCGGCTTTGCGCCGCCGTCCGCACCGACGCAAGCAGGTGCCCGAGTCACGCCGAGCGGTGCCATCTGGGAAAGTTCTCAAAGCGCGGCGGCGGCGGCGTTTGGAGCGCACGCCACGGTCCCTCTGCAAACATCCCACGAGGGCTTTATCGAAGGTGGAGGGGGGGGTAGGGAGATAGGGAGAGGTTCCGTGAGCGGGGAAGCGAACGCAGGGCAGCGATTAGGCGGCACAATGGAGCGATGTCCGGTGGGAAAGCTCGCTCGGCACATTGTCCTCCCATAGCCGTCAATGGCAGGAAGCAGAGAGCGAGGGCTCGGGTCGCCGGGCCGCGCGGCTCGAGTTGAACTCCCGACGCCACGGGGGTCTCGGCCGCTGGACGCCGGCCAGCCCCGCCGGCCGCACCCAGGCCCACCCGCTCACCCCCACCGCCTTCTCCGCTCCTCCAGCCCCGGCCTCAACCCGAGCGCAACTTCTTCCTTCACCGACAAACAAAACGCAGCAGTGACCCCGCTCCTTGGCTAGGCCCATACGGATTAGGAATCTCCGAATCGTACCCCAGATGGCCAACTCTGTGAGCAGACGTGATGCCATTTCGGCGGAGTAAAAAAATTAAAAAACAACAACAAAAAGCCGTGAATCTCGCTCGCGGACATGCGTCCCCAACGCCGCGCTGCGTCCAGCGACGGGCGTCGATTTGCCATCGTTTCACTTGAAGGTTGTTGTTGGCGACCGTCACGTGGGAAAGAACCTCCTCGATGGGCTTCAGGATTATAGGATGCCTGAGGATTTACATTTTAACGAGCCGGACGTAAAAACAAGCCGCGCAAAAGACAAGCGAGAGAAGGGCACGAGACTCCGGTACGGTGTTGGCAGCAGCACGTGACACTAGAAGAGTGCTCGCAGCATCGCCCAGAGGATGTCACGCTGTGCGTGCTCAGACACCGACCGCCGTTTTACCACTGCTCATCAATCGCGACGAGTTTTCCTGGTTCAGTCCCGCTGAAGTTCAAGAGTGGGATCTGTCCGTATGCACAAATGTGTTTCGTTTTACGTGTCGGTCTTTTGGGACCTCCCAACCTTGAAATCACATTTCTTAAAACAAAGGATACACGGAAGATATATGCAGCGAAGGAGGGGGCTTTGTTGTTACGGTGCTTGGGACGTAACGTCGGGAAGACTTGGAACGTTTTAGGGGAAGAGGTGGGGTGATATTTGGAAAAACATGGTCATTGGAATGCTGACGATGATGATGTTGAGAATTGAGATTATGCTGACGTGAATGATAATTCACTGTATATAAAAAAAAAAGTTGTTTTTGTTCCTGGGTAGTAAGTGTTATTTCCTAATGGCTTATGCCTCAAAAGTACAGAAATTGGCTATTATTCCCCACAAACTTTGCTTTTGTGACCAGGACAATGATATTTTGAAATTTACTTATTTTCAATGAGAAAACGTGGTGTGCATTTGTGCCATTCCCTCACACAAAGTCCTCGCTCTCCGCCAGGTACGACCACATCCTCAAGTGGGAGCTGTTCCTGCCGGACGACCTGGAGGACTACCAGGCCATGCTCAAGCTGCTCTTCATGAAGGAGCTGGAGGTGGTGGTGCGGCGCTACGAGCGCTACCGCCAGGCGCTGCTCAACCGCCTGCGCACGCCGGCGGTGGCCAGCAAGGGCTGCAGCCCCGCGGGCGCCGGGGCCTGCAAACCGCGGGAGGGCGGCCGCGACCCCTGAGGGCGGCCGCGACCCCTGAGGGCGGCGGAACCCCGGGGGGGGGGGGGGGGGGGGGTGAGGGGGAGCTCAGCGGCGGCGGCGTTGGGGGTTGAGAAGAAAGTTCGCGTCCACTCGACGGACGGACGAGTTCCTGAGGCCCGTGCTTGGCGCGAGAACGCTGCTCCCTCCCTCTCTGTGCTTAGAGCCGCGTGTTCACACGCAAGGGTTGGAAAGTGCAGAAGAAGTGCGAGACACGACACGCAAACAACAACAACTGCCGGTCACCACTAAGTGGCGGTGAAGTCACCACGGGCACGTGTGCCACGCGAGGTGCACACGCAAAGTTGCGCCAGTGCACACACAAGCGAGAGAGCCGCGAGGCCTGCTGTTGAACGACGGCGCGCTGCCGTGCTTACAAGCAGCAGGAGAATTGGTTGAAGAAAAAAAGAAACCCCGTTACGAACGAGCGACGGCACTTTTTGAGTCGCACGAGGCTTGGGGAGCGCGGCTCTACAGACGACGAACGGCCGTGCCCCGCGGCGAGGCCCCTCGCTGTTCACGTCCTCTCGCGAGGCCCGGCCCAGACGGAGCCGTCCCCCAAGGTGGCCTCAGCCGTCTGCTGGCACGGCGCGCGAGGCTATCGCCGTGAACGCGGCGCGTCACTGCTGTCCACATTTATTTTTTTACATCGGCGAAACGTTCGCAAAGTGTCGTTTAATCTCAAAGGAACGTCGGGGTTCTCGGAGCCAGAGGCTGCCCAGACGATGTTCCAATAAAACGTCTGCGTGAACACAGATCCCCTTGGCCGGCCGCATCTGCACGCTTATCAGATGGGCAGCGCGCTGTTTTTTATTAATGACAGAGCACAGCCGCGGTGCGTCACGCGCGCCACGAGACGGCTCCGCGAGGAGGTCGCTGCTGCGTGGAAAGGCGTCCACGGAAAGGATAGCGCTCTGTTTTGACTACAATCCCTGGCCAGTGTCCAGAGAATGATAACAAAAAAAGTTATAAAAAATTAAAAAAAGGGTTGCTTTTCTCTCCACAAAGGTCGTCCAAGCGTGAAAAAAACCCCGCGGGCTCTTCTTTTTCTTCCCGCTACCGTCCACACGAGGGGACGACTTCAAAGAGGGCGTTCCCGAAGCTGCATTTCGGGAGAGGCGGATCGGACGTCGAATACGGAGCAGGAGGAATGAGCCCTCGAACACGGCGCTGTTTTGCCTTTCGGAGCGACGGCGGCGGCATCATCATCACTATCGTGACGGAGAGCGGCGGAAATGAAGAAATAACGGTGGCCGCTGCAAAACACGGGGACTGCGGCTCAAAGTGAAACGAGCGTCGTAAGCAGCCGGTGGGGTTGGTGATGACTTGACCGTAGGTCGAGTCGTCGTTTGTAATGCCAGTGCAAGGACAGCGCAGGCCTACAGCCAGAGGCGTGGAGGGGTTTGGCCAGGCCCCATTAATTGACAATATATTGCATTGCATCGTTAATTGCCACCCATATTGGTATGTACCGTATGTATGTTGAACGTTTTTCTCACCGTACACAGCCAAAAGCTACATTTTTATAATATATAAAATAAAACAATTTCACTTCGTCAACAAAAAATACTGCAGCTTCTGTTGTCACAGAGAATGTGGAATGTTCAAACAGAGTAAAGTGGTCATAGGATTTCATCAATTTTCAGTCAAAAACAACACAAAAAAATATTTATTCTGTGACGAAAAAAATCTGAAAATGGGCCTAATTCCATTTGGCAGAAAGGGCGCTTGTGGAAGGTCGCCCTTTGGCCAATCGAGACGTTTGTCTCAAGGGGCTCCCACCTGGGTGCAACGTCCACGAGTGCATGGAAGTTAAAACGGCCAAATGTTTGGGGGGAAAACGCCTGCGCCTTGTCCATTGTTTTCAGTAGATTTTGGCATCGTCACCAACATATGAATCAGACCAAAAGTTTTCATCGGGTTTCATCAACCTGCATCCGGTGCAACTGGCGATGTCAATTAAACGGACAGCATCGTCTCTTCACGTGGGAACTCACTGCTGCGACGTCTGCTTCAAACTCTTCCCCTCGGTTATGAGCAACGTGCGGAGCGGCGCTTGGGCAGCGAAGCGGCGCTGCTTTAGCTCGGTGTGGCGCACGAGCCAAAGGCGAGGTGGCAACACGAAGTGGGCCTGGGCGATCGACGCGATTGAGCCCGGGGAAGCGGTTCGCTCTGCAGCGCAGCCTCATTCCGCGTGTGTCGGTCACGACTCTCGTCCGCTTGGCAGGCGGCTCCGGTGATCGGTTTGCAATAAAACGCAGCCCTAACAACTTGGGCAGACGAAGTCCTTCAGGGAGTGCTGTGACGGCTCTTGAGCACAAGAGCCGTCACAGGGCGGAGTGATCATTTTGCGACAAGAATGAATGCCGGCATCTCTCTGGTCTGCAGATTAATGGCGCAGCTATTCGCCCTAGTAATTTGTGGTGGTATACATGTAGACTGTCTATCGGTTAATTTCAGAGACGTATCGCCACGTCGCGTAGGACAGAGCCAGGGGTTACGTTCAGCGGCAGTGCAGCTACCCCTCGTGAGCCACACTCTCAGAAGCCAACTGGGAAAAGAAAATAAACCCAGCCGGCACAAACAAAACCGTGCCAAGGAAAGACAGATTTCCACAGAAGATGATGACAGAGCATCGAGCACAGAGTGTGGAAAGTTCTCTGCACCCCAGGGTGGAAGGGCAGAGGAAACAACTGACAGCTCTCCCGCTTTCCTACGTCCGTCCGTCTGTTCCACGTTTCGCAATCCTCACCAAAGCCAAACAGCGCGCATTTACAGAGCACCCAACTATCATCGCATCTCACGACACAGGGCAGAAGAGTGGGACGCACGTCACATGACATAAGGACGCGTAGTGTATAATACTACACGCACATCATTAATGATATGGCTATCCAAGATGTGCACCACGGGGTGGCAACGCGGACTGCAGTTTGTGATTCACGTTGTTAGAGGAACAGCAGCAAGCAGCATCGACGGAGTCCAACCGCTGGCCGGCACGGTCTCCTAAACACCACGACTGCAGCCCCACTGGTGTTCATCGCCCACGACATCAACGTTGCTACTTCACACACCACGTTGGCCTTCGTTACAGTTCCCACCAGGATATCGGACTCCCTCGGTAACGGTTTCAACGCACGGTTTTGGATGCCGAACCGCGACGTTTCAACACTTCCGAGCGCCGCACTGCGGTGGTGCGTGGCCCGGTGACTCCACGCGGTGACTCCACGCGGTGACTCCACGCGGTGACTCCACGCGGTGACTCCACGCGGTGACTCCACGCGGTGACTCCACGCGGTGACTCCACGCGGTGACTCCACGCGGTGACCCCACGCGGTGACCCCACGCGGCGACCCCACGCGGCGACCCCACGCGGCGACCCCACGCGGCGACCCCACGCGGTGACTCCACGCGGCGACTCCACGCGGCGACCCCACGCGGTGACCCCACGCGGTGACTCCACGCGGTGACCCCACGCGGTGACTCCACGCGGTGACCCCACGTGGTGACCTCACGTGGTGACTCCACACGGTGACCCCACGCGGTGACCCCACACGGGGACTCGCGAGTAGCAGAGCCGGCGGCTGCATGACGCCTCAATCCATCGATCGGCTGCATGACCCCTCAATCCATCGGCGTGAGCGGGAGACGGCGCGCGTCGCAGCGCAGGAGTCGAACCCGGGAATGACGTTGAACGGGGCTGTCGACGCGATCGCAAAGGGGCATGCACCACCGCAAACATTCTTGAGTTGTCCGTGCAGTATTAACTTGCTTGTTTTTCCTTTCTCGGAAGCACTTTAAATTTAATCCATGTTTTTGCGTGACAAAGTAGAGTACAGATTAGCTACGTGACTTGTTTTAAATGTTCGTGTTTAATGTTCGTGTTGAATGTTTGTGTTGAATGCTGCTAAACAGCCGCACCGTTGACAAAAACGAAGCGACTGCGCTCTTAGCTCGGCTTTGCCTTAATCTGTGGAAGCACGGGGGGGTGTTGTCTGAGCTCGACGAAGCATTTTGTCGAATTGCCGTGCGGGCCGTCTTCACCGTGGAGAACACTCGCGCGGAGGTGAACTATTTCGCCAAGCGATGTACGACTGAGCTGCCTCGCCTTCAGTCACAACGTGCTTCTCACGACGAGTGGTTTGAAATCGATCCCGCCGACCAGCCTGTCACTTGGCATCCCATGTACACATTGTGTTACGCATTCCATGCCCGTTTTCCTGGGAGAAATGCAATATACCTATTTAGATTTGTATTTTAACCAAAACATTCCGAATCAAATGTCCCCACGCTCTCTGGAGCAAGGCGTTGTGACCACCATCACCACTACCGTCGGCACTGCTCTCAAGCTGCTGATGGAAACTTCACATTCCGATGTCGGGGGCGGCTGTGAACTTCACGGGCACGGCGCACCAGCGCCGTCTACCTACGGACAGCTGTGCACCATCTGCACGCGCGGGGCCCGTCTCTGCCCGACTCCTCAAGGAAGCGGTTTCGCTTTCGTTTCCACCGATTTCCGGTCGGCAGAGGCCCTCCTCCAGTTGCTTGCCACGCGGATGGCTTCTAAGGACGATGGTGATAATGGTGATGATGATGAAAATATTGTGCGACACTTTGTACAGTTTATAGGACTAAGTGCATTCTAATATTCATATATTTTAAAGATTTTTTTGTAATGTATGACAAGCTCTACACGATTTAAAAAAAAAACAATAAATGAATTGAGACGTCTTCGTGTGCTGCCGTCTTAAAGTCGCTGTTCGCCTTCTACCCATGGACATTGCACTGGGACCTCTAAAGGATGGCCAATCAGGGGCTGGACTTACAGAGGCGACCCGCTCCTTAGAAGCATGATCCCTGCTGCCTGTATAAACCCCTGCTGCCTGTATAAACCCCTGCTGCCTGTATAAACCCCTGCTGCCTGTATAAACCCTTCGTCCACGATAGTAAAATTGACCAAAACCACCGCACGTGATGGGGGAAGGGAGCGAGCGACTTGACGCCACATCGTGTAAACATACAAACAGCAACAGCATCCAATTATGGCAATGACAGCATAGACGTGTTACTCTGCCGTTTCACCAATGCATCAATTATATATGCACGTTGTTAACGGGTCAATTATATTTTTCGTGGTGGTCAATTAAAATTGTTGGCCTGATTGAATCAACAGTCATAACTGTTAACATTTAATAAAATCAATCACCTGCCCCGAGGCTATTACATTCTCAATGCAAATGTATTTTGAGTGAACGTGCATGAGCCGCGGAGCTGAGAGCTGCTGAAGCTGGAACATCTATTTATCTATTTGACCACGTGGGAACGTTCATAAACGCGAGACCCCCCCCCCCCCCTTATGATGGGGGCAGCAGTGCGCCCGTGTGCGTGACTGCGCTTGCAGGGGGGGGGGGGGGGTGCGAGCTCGCGCGAGTCGTGGAAGGCAGCAGATGAGAACGCGCCGGACTTGGGGACTCCGCCGAGTCTTGTCGCTCGGGAGGGGGGGGGGGTCTCTGCGACCCCGTCCGTCATTTTCATTGTAACGGCAAAACGACAGAAGACAGCGAGGCGCTTGAATGGCCCCGAGCTGGGTCTCTCGTTCCTCGGTGAAGCACGGTGCCCTGGGCCACGCCGCTACGGAGGGGGCGCACGCCCTCAAGACGCACGACCCCCAAGACGCACGACCCCCAAGACGCACGACCCCCAAGACGCACGACCCCCAAGACGCACGACCCCCAAGACGCACGACCCCCAAGACGCACGACCCCCAAGACGCACGACCCCCAAGACGCACGACCCCCAAGACGCACGACCCCCAAGACGCACGACCCCCAAGACGCACGACCCCCAAGACGCACGACCCCCGAGACGCACGACCCCCGAGACGCACGACCCCCGAGACGCACGACCCCCGAGACGCACGACCCTTCAGCGTCTTCGAGGAAAGACGGCGAGGCCGAGGGCTCCGTCGCTACACAAGAGGCCCATCGTGCAGCGAGAGGCCCTGCAGCAGTGACCCGGCCAATCGTCATCACGCGCATTGGCCAATGAAAAAGGAATAATGTACAAGACCGAGAATTGATGATTCTCATCCTGTGTAAATCTGACAAACTGGCTCCTTTTCCATGGCACGACAAACGTTAAACCGACGTTCGCATACTTGGCCGTCGCCTACATCCACGTATCGTATTACACCACTCGCCACTGCGCAGCCCTTTGGCAGCCCACTGCTGGACGAACGCCTCCCCCACGCCACATTTGGTCATGGGGTTCTCGACGAGACTTGATGGCGTCGGTCAGTGCAAGTTTGTGAAGTGCGCGGGTTATGTGGATTATCCCAGGACTCGTTCAGACTCGCCACTGATGCGAGCCGCGGACAGGGATGAAACTTGGGTCGCCAGGTTCATGGCACTGCTCACAACCACTGCGCCTCTCCTCCCGCCACCGCGTGTGATGTCCCATTGTGTTCTTTAGAAGGCGTGGCAGAACTCATTCCTGTGGTTGCAGTGACGTACACGACGCTGTACGAGTCATTACCCGTACGGAGCAGCACGGCAAGTAGGCGTGTAACCTTTTTGTTGTCAGCTTGAGTGCTCTCAGCTTGTATACCAGGATTTCCTCTAGACTGTTTAGTTTTCGCCCACGTGCAAAACCAACCCCCCCAAAAAGGGAAAACATAAACCACGTAGAACCCTCCTGAAAAATAAAACATGGAGTGCTCAATAAGCATGAAGAGAGAAAACATTTCAAATGTACAAATAAATTCACGAGTTAAAGCCTCGCAACAGAACGTGTGAAATATGTCGGGGGCAGCGGCCCTTGTCGGTGGAGCGTTCTCAAGCCGCAACAAGCGAACCCGCGCCAAGCGATTCCTCGATCTGGCAGGGCCATCCGTCTCCACCAGCCGCGCGCGCGCGGGGGGGGGGGGGGGCTCTTCCCCGCTGCGGCAACTCGAACCGAACGGGGACTCGAACCTTGCCGTCGAACTCCGGCGTTGCGCAACGCAGGCGGTGGTCGGGCAGGCAATGACCGCACTTTTAATGAACGACTACGACAACAGTCCACGGAGCGTGACCACGGCCACAAGCGCATGCGAACCCCCGCGGGGCGAACAGAAAGGAGCCGTGCGTGGCTGTAAACAATCGCGGGAGGGAGCGGACGGCGGTGGCGGGGAGAGGAGATGGAGGTGGGGGGGCGGTTACGACATTGTGCGCGATATTTAAATACACTTGTTTTTAAAAATACATGGTTTTCCCTACACGATTACGTACATAAGTGATGGCTAGGCTTATAAATACACCCACGGATTTGCCATCTGCAAAACAACTGCCACGTATTGATTTTGTTTGTTTTAAGATAGAAAAATGCATTGTACAGGTTTATGTACACTCATCGTGATATTTGGAGTATTTTCATACACGGATGCGAATAATGACTACGTACCTAAATACATCCACTTGCATTTGTAACAGTAATATGGGAAGAAAACAGCGTGGCCTGAACAACCTTGAAAAGATAAAGTAGCCAAGACTCCTTGTAGAGGACTTGAATAGATTATATATAATAAATCATCTCAGTTAGACTGATAGAACCGCCATGACAGTATACAAATAACAGCGGCAAAATATTAATTAAATGTTTTTAAATAATGTGACGGTGTCACATTGCCGGGTAACACGGATTCTGTTGAATGAAGATATTGACATAAGATTCACAAAGGCCAAATTAACAATACAAGTGCAAAACAGCGCAGTAAATGTACAGACAATCTATATTTTTTTTGCAATAGTCGACAATGACACAAAAACAGTGGCAACAGGTTAGATATTGACATTGGCTGAACGTCGCCCAACATTGGGTGGACGTTGGCCATCGATGGCCCCAATGTTGCACGTTAACTGATAAGTCACGGCCAGATCATCTCTAGATATTCTAGTTGTCGGATTCCAAACATATTCCATAAATGTTAGGAACCAATCTGGTGTGGCATAACAATCGAGCACTCGGAGAACAACAAACAAAACAAATCACAATAAAAAAATAAACATGCAAATAAATCGTGAAGCCAACTGTGGCAAGGCAACACGCTCGCACGGAGAACACCGACGCCACGGTGGAGACTCTAGGACCACCCCCCACGTGCTGCCCAACGGCACGAGGACTGCCCCCACGTGCTGCCCAACGGCACGAGGGCTGCCCCCACGTGCTGCCCAACGGCACGAGGGCTGCCCCCACGTGCTGCCCAACGGCACGAGGGTTGCCCCCCACGTCGTTGCCCTGGCAAGCGTCGGCAAAAAAAGACTTTTGAGAAATTAGCACCAAAATTTAAATTGCATTTTTTTGGATGTTGTCATTAAAAATGTTTGTCTGCACGCGAGAATTGTTGTTTGCTTTTCAGGTTCTTATCTGTGTGAAAAAGAACTTTATAGCTCATCGGATTCCTCCTGCAGTTTAAATATACTGATTCTGACAGCCGGGATGCGCGGCTGTGGTCTCAGTGTTGCGAGGTCAGGTTGGCAACACCGCCTACCACCCATAATGGGAGCAAACACGTCGAGACTTTGGAACGCATGCATGCCCGATATTCGTAAAACAATGCCACTACGATCGGAGATTTTTAAAAAGGGTAAATTAGGAGCTACTCACATTTCCTATACACATCCGAGGGGTATTTTTGAACATTTGGCTACAATTCATACACATGCCCAACAAATGCGATGTAGCATTTTGAAAAATTGATTAATCATTTGGTGCCCCACAAACCCGAAGGATGCCTCTTCTATCAAGCGACACTTTAGCCCAATAATTATTTTTTGTTTAGTTGTTGAAATCAAATACCAAAATCTGAATATCCCTGCAGCTTTACCTGAATGAATGTTCACATCGCGATTCCGGGGAGAACGAGATCTGATCTGGCAACACTGCTCCGGCCCGGAGATCAACTAGCCCCACCACGCTACCGCCAGCAGGGGGCCCATCGCCGACGTTTGTGGTCCAGCAGGAAGACACGGAAGCACGGAACTTTATTAAAACGGCGGTTTGTTCAACACTGGAGCGAGTGCAAGAGTGAAGCCACAGGGATTATGCAGGACCGTTCAGCTGGATTAAAAGCTGCCAAAGATCACTCTCGTGCGAAACAAATGATGGCGATGCATATACTTTGTAAATACAAGCAGGCTGGTGCTTCCGCGGATTTCTAACGAACCCGACGTCGACGGTGCAGTGTCGTCCATCCAGCGAGACGTGCGAACGTGTTGGGCCAGTGGCCAGCGGCCTGTGCGTGTCCACTCGGCCGGTCATCGACCCTCCACCCACCCCGACCCCGCACGTCCACCGCGCCGCCTCTCCCTTACCCTTAACTCGCCCTCCCCGCCATCCCCTTCCTCGGACTCAGTTCATCTTGGCCTTGCCTCTGCCCCTGGGTTGCACGGCGGGGTTGCGTTCTGCGCCGCCACCGTTGTCGCCTCCGTTCTTTCCCCGGTGCACCGAGTCCGAGATGGAGCGCTTCATCTTACCCCACAGGATTCGGCCGCCCACCGGTTCCAGGCCCTGGAAGGCCGTACGGGCGGGGAGGGGGGCGACGATGCGGGTGGTGCGGGAGGGGTCACGGGACGAGCGGCACGCAGCGCGAGGACACGGGCGGGCGATGATGCGGCACAGCGACAGGGTCACGGCTCACGGGGTCAGGTTTCGGGGGCGGCAGATGGGACGTGGAACGGGCAGGTGGGGAGGCAGAGTGTTCAGGCGGTGAGGAACCAGATGTCCAGGGTTAGCAGGATGTCCGCGCGTTGTCGGCAGCACAGCGAGGGGGTGCACGATGAGTATCCAAGCGGGAGGGGAAGGCATGCGGGCGAGTGGGCGGAGATGAACGCAGGTCGCACGGTACGGAGTTTAGGAGGGGCCACGGAGGGCGAGGCAGAGTATGTGGGCGGTGGGGAGGTCCGAGTTTACACAGGGCCAGCAAAGCCACGGGGGAGTGCAAGCCGGAGCGTGGCGATGGTAGGAAAGGGAACGGCAGTGGGAAGGAGACGGAAAGACAGACAGAGACACACAGGCATGCGAGAGCATCAGTGTAGTGAAACCAGCAAAAGCTGTGCTCAGCTTGCTCGTGATTCATTACACATTTTTATTTTCACCATCGGGCAAGAGCCGACAGGGAGTTTTTTGGCAAGAGAAACCTGCAGAAGCCACGAGGTCAAACAGCATTGCACACATCAGCACATCCACACAGTCACACTCTTCCGACTGTCCATCTCACCCCACAACCCTCCACCACTAAACATTGTACAGCTTCAGTGGAACCACAATCCGATATGTTTAAAACGTTCTCTCAATAGACGCCAGCAGGAAGAGGATGCGAGAGAAGAAGAAAAATAATAATTCTTACAACAGACATGATCTCGCAAGGCAGATGATATTATTTCAAAGACCAGGCAGTGCCAACACTTGATCAGGTGCAAAAGCAGGACACCGACGAGACATCCGTTTCTCAAACAGAGCTGGCTTTGACCAAGAAACCATGACAGACATACCAAGGTTTATATCGCCAAACATTTACGTAATAACATGCGGCAAAGTTTGACTTATAAAAGTGATCAGCTTATATTGAGGACAACAGTCGGACGTTACCAAGTAACACTGAAGCAGCGAGGGGGTGCGGCTACGCCTGGCGAAGCCCCCCCCCCGCCGCCAAATCTACAGTGGTCACAGAGACAGTAAAAGACGACACTCGCTATGAAGCCAGTTCTACTGCACGAATAATCACCACAGGCTCGGACACCATGCGTGAGGACCGGAGTGCTTCGCCAATCAGACGGACACCCGCTTGACAATTGGCTACGGGCTTGGAACTGAGGGCGCGCAGCTTGCGAGTCCATACGAGTCGAGTGTGTGTGAGCCCAGTCCATACGAGTCGAGTGTGTGTGAGCCCAGTCCATACGAGTCGAGTGTGTGTGAGCCCAGTCCATACGAGTCGAGTGTGTGTGAGCCCAGTCCATACGAGTCGAGTGTGTGTGAGCCCAGTCCATACGAGTCGAGTGTGTGTGAGCCCAGTCCATACGAGTCGAGTCAGCGCGAGTCGAGTAAGAGTCGAGTCCGCGTGAGCCCAGTCAGGGTGAGTCGAGTGAAAGTCGAGTCAGTGCGAGCCGACTCCGCGTGAGTCGAGTCCACGCCACTGCTTCAGGGACCGCACGCACGGCCCGAGGGCACGCCGAGCAACAGCTCGCAAAACACGACGGAGCTAGTGCCTGAGCTAAACCAGCGCCAGCCCGGTGATGAATGCCACTGCACGTGCACAGGTGGAACTGCGGTTCCTCCTGTGCACGTTTCACTCTCAACATCACGTTGCACGACTGGCTAACCGGCCGAGGACCGATGCTTCGCTTGCACACTGCCTCTAAGTTAATACCGAAGGGCCAGGCGAACTGCCGCTGGTTGGACACCACCAAACGCAGTCCTGGCACCGCATGGTAACGAGCAGCAGAGCAGATGGTGTGTAAACAAACCCACGTGAGAGTTCACCATCACGTGGGCGGCCGTCGTAGCGGCGTCCCAGAGTCTGAATTTAGTGTTCAATCGCCCAGGCCCTCTTCGCACGATTTGTACCTGGCTATATATACAGTATACTTAATAACAATGGTACATACTTTGGATAAATTAAGGCTGACTTGTAGTTCAGATTTGTAGCAGTACAGCTCCCCGAGCCTTAATCGCGTCCACCAAGCTTAAGCAAAAAATATGATCGATGTTACAATGTATTACCATATCTATATGACATTGTGTGAGTTTCACACCACTTTGCACTTTCATTAAAATGACCCCCGCGTTGTTTGAGGAAGTTGCTGCCCTCCTCCGAATCTTGCCCAAAAACCAAAATAACTTCTAGAGGCAGCCCCAACGTTAAAGATCTGCTCGTGCTCCACTTTGTGTTGAACGTCAACAATGTGAAAAAAATCACACTCACAGCCACCTGCGTGATGACAACACAGCGGTCATTTTAAGAACCAAAGCCTAAAAAAAAACGTACAGGGTCGCGGCGAGACGGCATTAGTTCCTCTGGGTAAAGGCAGTGCGATCAACAGCACCCATTCAGCATTCAGGAATATAATATGTAGTGTTCACCCTCTCAGCGAGGTCGTAGTGTTCAGCCTTGGAAAAGAAAAGACCTCTCCCGACGCAGCCTCTGCTCTGGATCGACAACGCTCCCAGCGGAGGAAGACCGTGCCATCCAACACTGCCCCCAATGTTAGACGGCCACACACCAGTCCCATCGAGAGCTTGACAGCCTCCGTAGAGTGTTTCTTTACTGGGGTCGCGTGACGTCAAGATTGGACGTTTTGGCAGTCTCTCTAGGCACCTGGCAGGAAAAATAAGCGGGCAGCCTTTCTGTGCTTGGTGTCTTATGCAGCGAAAATGTTCAACAATTTTTTTTATAATATAATATCAAAAAATCAAGCGGAATGAAATGGAAATGGGCCGAACGCTGCGACTGCAGAGCGAGAGGGGGCGGCGCTGTAAATGTCACGACGGTTAGAGTCAGGAGGGTTGGGGCCAGGGTCAGGGTTAATTTCTCTTCTTGGCGGCGGCACGCTTGACTCCGCCGTGAGCGAACGACGAGGGCGCGTGGCTGGAGCCCGCGCACTGCAGGGCCACGCTGTAGAGCGAACACAACACCTGTTGGAGGGGGGGGGGGCGGTCAGCACGCACGCACGCGGTGTTAGGGCAGTTAGCGAAGCACCGCACGCATGCACACAGCGAGCAAAGCACATGACAGGTGGAGGGGGTCGAAGCAAAGGCCTGAGTTAAAACGTTGTCACTCTCCGACAACTAAATCAACCACTCATAACCAGAATTAAACACCCACAGTGCCAGCAAGACACATGGCTCAGTATGGGGCTATCGGGCTTTGGCCTGGTATTCACGGAATGACATTCTAAATGCTCGCGATTCTCCAAATCTGGCGACGACACTGGTCCACAATGTCCAAATTTTAAGAACAATTTCACGGCATCTTGGCTGAACTTGCGTGTTTGTTGATTTTCCCAAAGCGGATGCACGCATGGAAACTCTGGAGCCAGGCAGGAGCCGACAAACCAATCGCTAAGAGACACAAGTCAGACACGCAGCAAAATGGTGCACTGGGTGCACCTGTATTTAGCCGTGGTCTCACAGTAAATGCTGCGGTGAATGTGGCAGGTCTGCACTTGCTACTGATAACAAAACGCAACAAAATACACATTAACGAGCAACAAGAAGTGCAGTGTCACCAAAACCTCTGACGTCTTCTGTCCCCGAATGACGGAGGATCTTTCCCTCTCTGTTTGGTACAGGGCCATTTAATCCTGGAGAAGTCTCTTTCCATGGCATTTTTCAGTGGACTTTTAGACTATCCCAGGCTCTTCAACGCATGTTTTCAACGCCTTACATGAGAAATTCACTTCAAGGTTATTTTAGCCACACAGCTTTGGCGCTCTAGTGAAGTCACCGTGACATAAGTTGTCAATGTCAATTGTGATGTCACCGGAGCGCTATAGTGGCACACGCCTAACCGTAGTTTTTGAGTCTTCAAGCCCGCGTTGAACAGCCTTGGAAGCACGGCCTAGGTCTGCGCATTCCTCTCAGGGGGGCTTTCAACCAACATCAGCGGGGCGGGTGACCACGTGAAATCGCGCCCAATTCAACTGTCAGCCGAAAATGCAGTTTCTGGAAATTCCAGTGGGAAAACAACCAATTTAAAGCCAAATGCCATGGATTTGGCCACCATCCCAGTGATTTGCATGCATGGATGGGCCCAACGATTTCTTTCCCAGACATTATGCTGCAGGTCTTGATGGCTCCAGGAACCCAGTGACGGGATGCACGAGCGGAGGCTCGGGCTTTACTCGGCCTCACCGCAGGCCACGGACGAAAGGAGGAAAGGAAAAACCTCTGCTGGAGCCGCAGCGCAAGCATCTGGCGAACGAACGAAAAAAACTACAACATCGAGGGTGCGGCAACAGGATTGATTTTTTAAAAGTAATCCGAGCAATTAGGGTGATGAAAGTGAAATTTAGACGCTTTTTAATGAATTCGCTCAAGTGCATAATGCCCAAGCAGGATTGTATGCGAGGGCGCAAAAGCACTTCTCAGCAAGTGTGCATCTTCCCCGGTCTTGTTCATTCAGACGCTGCACCAGCGACGGTCGGGCGAGCTCTCCGTTAAACTACTCATCAACCTCAGTGCCATCAAAGGCCAAAAATGAAATTCAGAAACTCATCAAACACTCAAATACTAAGACACATTACTACTGCATGTTTAAAGTTCGAGTTGGTTGGCACGGTCGTGCACGCTTGGAGCTACGGTTTGTGGCTCAAAGATGGAGCCCTTCAAGTGAGCAGGATACCCGCCTGCAGTGCAGTAAGTAGGTTACAGACAAGCCATATAGTTATTATGTACATGTGCAGCTTCTTCTGATAAACACTTTAGTTTTAATCCACTGCCAAGAAGCCTCTCAATAAAGGAATCTGACACAAATCCTTTACGGGAACATCCGGAAAACGAGTTTGGGGACAAAGGCCTTCCTGCAAATATAAAGCACTGCCATTATCGGTGTACGCACGAAGCGCCCGGGGGGCCTCAGAGCGGAGGCCGTCATCACGAAAAAGCAACAAGAGCTCTGGTTTGAGCTCCGCTGACAAAATGATCAAACGGAGAGGCCGCCAGTGTACAAGGGGCCGTGGTCTGATGAGCGACACCACCAGCAGGCGGTCGCGTCCCTTTCATCGTCATCCAGCACTTCGGAAACCGGCCGACAATCATGACAAAGCGCGCCGTTTAAGTGCCATCTGAAGGAGGCTTGTTCAGAGTGGGGGGGGGGGAAAAAATAAACCGTTAAGACGTTGCCGTCCGCGGCAATTATTGCTCGCCACGTTGCACGCACGAACGGCGCACGCACCAAGGAGCAATTAGCGGCACCGGCAGCACGGAATGAGTCACCGCTGCCATGTGTGGAGATGCGCCCGTGCCCTCCCATTGGCGACTCGCGTTTCCGAAATGTCTGCGAGGACAAAGCTGAAAGGCCTCGGTTTTTTTGGCATTTTTTCTGTCACCCGATCGTAAGAGAGCCCTTTATCATCCCATCCACTGGTGGATTCATTACGGACTCGAGGTTGTTGTTTTTTGTGTCATCCTAATCAGATGCATATATGTGACTGCGTCTGCTGAATATATAATCATTTTTTAGTCACTACCGCACATTTAAATATAAATGCATTTGCTGATGCTGCTGTGTGTAGTCTTGTGAATCCAAGTGTATCGTTGAAATAAAAAAAATGATTCGCGTTAATTGCTCACTCATTAATCCATTCTCCCACTTCTACGATTTCTGCCCTACTTCAAGTTAACGTGCAGGAAAAACTAAAATCAGATTTTGTAAAACGCTACGAAGAACAAGAGAACATTCCGCTACAAATAAGTGTACTGTCTATAGCCCTACGTGGCTATGAATATTGGAGACGAACAAGCCACACCAATAATAGAATGCCAACTCTTGAGATGCGGTACTTCCAAAACACAATTCCAACTCCACACGCTGCTCATCATGCAAATGAGTCGATCAATGAGGAGGCGACGAAAAGGATTGGGGTATACGAACCACGACTGGCCAGAGCAAAGAGGGAGGAAGCTGCCATGGGGGTTAGCCATGCCACTCAAAACCCAGAGGAACTTCCAAACACTGCTATGTAGGGCCCAGTGGAAGAGAGGAGGAAGACAGGGTATATGTAGGTATGTTGAACTTCTTTCGCACTATACGTAGTCAACCGTGCTGATCGTGCTAATGGCAGGTGCGGAGGTTGGCCAAGGAGCAGCTGCACAATGATGATGATGACGATGAACGCAGCGACTTCCAAAGGTATAATAGTGGCAGATGCTATCCCGATCATAAAAGACAACAAGAGGTGGAGAGGGATGATTGCAAAAGCATCACAGGCACACCCACGATCCCCATGGTCAAGGGACTGATTATGATTTGGTAAAACTCACATCTATTAACCCACAATGGATTCTACAAAGATGCGATGATGAATTAACGTGCCCATGAACGGACGGTAATCCGCAGTGCCTGGGGTCATGCTGTGCAACATACTCAGAGTAATGCAGATGTCGAAACCTACTGTGAACCCACGACCACAATTAATGAAGCAGCCACACAGATGCATGGCCCGCTTCTCAATTACACAGCGATACATGGGTGCCTCGACACCCAAATTGCCGCCGCTGAACAATGGGCGCGCGTCTATAAGTGAACGGCTCCTGATCGGCGATGCACGAGGGAGAGGTGAGGAGCATCCCCTCGCTTCCTTGTAGTGTGCGGCGACGCGAGACGGAGGAGTGCCCGGGACGACGGGGGTGGGGGGCCGTGGATAATTGTGGCCTGACCGGAGGAATTTGAGCTGAATAAAAATAGAAGCAAAGCTAGACGTATAAAAGAATAATTGTATCAATGTCAATGTGGAATACTGGAATTTTAAGACCAGTACTTTGAGCGTGTTCCCTATACGTTTGTGATTGTGTGATCATTACGCCATTGCAGAGTGGAATATATAATGTGAAACTGTAATAATCACTGACGGTAATAACGCCGCTGCCGCCAATAACGCCGCTGCCGCCACCGCCATCACTCCCGAAGGTAGCGACCAACAGTCACCTTGACCGAACCCTGGCAAATGGCGGCGATACTCCCGCACGCACGCACGCACGCACCCACCTGGTTCCAGACGGTCTCGGCGATGCGGTCTATCCAGACGCCCACGTCACGGAAGGCGCCCGAGTAGCGCACGTAGGCCCAGACGCAGAGCGCCATCAGCGCGGCGCCCACCGCCATGTTGCAGAGCGAGGCGACGAGGTCGAGGCCCACGAAGCCCGTGAGGCCCGACACCACGTAGAACACGAGCATGACCACGAAGAGCGTGGCGGGCGTGCGCGCCGAGTGGAAGATGTTCTTGCCGTCGTTGTGCTTGACGAAGTTGGCGAACAGCTCGTCCAGCTCGGCCTCCAGCTGCTCCAGGTAGCGGCGGCTGAACTCCTCGCCGCCCATCTTCTTGGTGGACGTGAACTGCGCCACGGCCGTATAGCGGTACTCCTGGTGCTTGCGCTCCAGGTCGGCCGGCGCCAGGAACGGGCGGTCGCCGCCGCAGATCTGCAAGTCCGTCAATGTCGTCGTTAGCGATATTTTCATCGTTTGCGTCGGCACTGTCGGGCAGTGACGGCCAAAGAAGTATCACTGTCATCAATTACATCTCAGCTGCTGCCAACATCACCAGGGCGCTCACAAGCTCCAGCAGCATTAACAAGGTCACCTCTGTCGCGATTACATCGGTAAGAATGGTCATCATCGGCATCAATGTCAAGCGCGTGCATTCATTTATTGAATTGTCTATCCAAGGTCACGTGATCAGCACCTGAAAAAACATCATCGGTTGAAGTTTAAAAAAACGCGTTAAAAAATGTATATATGTTGAACTTCTTTCATACTGTATGTAATACTAAATCCAGAATACTAAAATATATATACGACACAAGGTGTAATGAGAAAAAAACTTACAAAACCACCAGCAGACGTCTAACATAGCCAGACTTATCCAATCCACTGCTGGACAGAGGGCTCCCCCCCACGCCATGGATGTTTAACCATACACCTCCACGCTAATCAGTGCAGGTTATATAATTTGCTTAAAAGCAGATTTAAGACAATTGTAGTTATATGACCAGGCACTTTGCTTCAATCCAGGTGCACACTTCTCTATTTGAGTAAAAAGAGAATTGGCTTCATCGTTCCTTCTGCATCAATAGCCCAAGTAAAGACGCATTGCGACTGAAAGGATGCAACCCAAAACAAACCTGGGTCTTAGCTTATAGATACATACCTAGGCTGAGGGTTTCTAGACTTACACAGGTGAGCTTAAGGCTCCGTTAATGAGAAAGAAAAGCTACAAGTTAGTCAGGGGTACCATTATAACACGCCGGTGACCTCGCGGTGACCTCACGAGAGCGCTGCAAAACCGCATGACCGATATCAAGGTTTTTTGTTCTCGTTCATGAAGCTTTAAACTCATTTTGGGACCACCCCAGATGCTCAGCCGAGGAGCATTTCCACAAGATGAGAACCATTGGATCTTTGGATTGTATCTCCCCGCAAGGAGGCTGCAAAGTCCCCACAGGCACCGGCACGTCCCGGCGAAATTGCACACACGCAAAATAAAACCAGGCCACGGCGTGTATTGAGATATAAATAAAAAAACTACACCGACCAATAACATCTGCTTCTGCTTATTCCTCTTTACGTCACCACTTTAATACCACGCTACGCAAGGCACACGCTTCGGCAAACGCATTTGGGCAAAACTGCACAAGAGCCGTTTTTGTGCAAAAAACCCCTTTGCGGGCTCTCTAATGGACCTCAGATTGTTTAGACCAGGAAGTCGAACAATCCGGGCCCATCTAACGGGGGCCTGCGGGAGGAACGTGCGTCACGCGGTCCTGGTGCGGGTACACGCGTCGCGTTCAATCTCCCGCGCACTCCGTTGCGTCGGCACGATACGGACAGGAGCACGAGTGGGCGGCCGCTCACTCCCAGAAGCTACCCCTCCCCGACTCTTGAACCCATTTTCAGACCGAGTTGAACTGCAACGTGGTTTTTGTGAGCAGGGGAGGATGCGCGCCACTGTGACCAACGCTCAAAAATCCACAAAAAAGACAGTCGGCAAACTACTTGTTGTACCGTCTTCTGCAGGCCATATTGCAGCCCTACAGGTTCAGTCGTGGCCAAACGGAGATGTCTATGTGACCCACCAACTCCACCTCTAAAACGCTGGACCATAGCGGCACGCACGCATGTGTGCATGTGCCACCACACCCAGCATTGAATAATCACCGCTGTGCGGCGACGGTGGCGTCGGGGTGTTTCCTTTGGCTCGGTGGCCCAAAGGAAACGCTTCGAGGGGCATCGGATACAGCGCCAGGGAATATTGAATGGATGTCATTGTGCGATGGGTCTCTGGAGACTCAGACAGTGACTACATTCCCTTTGGGGATGCTTAAATAGAAAAGTATTTTTTTAAAGCAATATACTTTAAAGCGTATTCCGCGAGACGCGCCGAGGCTGTGTCTCAAAGGGGGGGGGGGGGGGGGGAAATGCTTGCAGTCGTGAGCCCAGAGCTCTGCAACAAAAATAAAAACCTGAATGAGAAACTCAAAGTCACTTTGGGAAGAGCGCCCCATCGGCGTAAATGATGCCTCCATCCTTTTGGAAACGATGACCGTTTTCCACCTATGAGCACAATAAGTCACAATTTTACGTGGCTTTCTTCTGTGGCGTTATTCAACATTGTAAAATAAGAAAATCGTTAAATAACATGCAAGGAATGGTTGCACACTGCGTGTGTGCCACCGGTCTGGCTCAAATTTACTAAAACCTTAAGTGTGTCCAGAACGCTATTTTAGCTGGATGAAGACGGAGGCGTTTAGCTGTACTGCAAAGCAGATGACTCAGCTCAGCTGCACATTCTTGCATAGTTATAAAAAAAATGCATAAATAAACATTCATGCAAACGACTCGGCAAGCAGGGATGGTCATGTTTTGCAGTGGCTTGGTTGTCTGCAGGCAAAGGCTCCGAATTACTCAGAGGAGGCACGGCTGAAAACGCCAACGTTCTTTAGTAGGCGGACTACAAAATCGTCCACTGTTCGTCTGAAAGCAGCCCTCTGATCAACACACCCCCTGCACCCAACTAGAAATAAAATAAAAATGATCAAAAGAGATTGAAAAGGGGGAGAAAAAAAACATCTGACCGATGTTTCGCCTTTCAACTTAAACATGCCTTTCAAAAACCTACAAAGCCAGCAATATGACAGAGCTTGAGGTTTTCAAAAGAGCACAGGGACACAGAGAATATGGATAGGGCGGTCAAATCTTCCACCACAGAGGCAACGCTACATTGTATCATGGTGCTTTTCCCACAGGGTGTTTTTATTATTATTAATAATTACAGAAATGTTCATTGGGAAATGACTTGTGAACAGAAAGCCAGACTTAATGGAGGTGCACGGGATGTTTAATCGTTAGTATGCAGTTGAACTGAAAATTATCAAGAGTTTAGACGGGTTTATTAATCCCAATCTGTCCAATAATAAATCCAACATTATCAGCGACGATCAAACTTCTGCTGGATGAAGAGCTTCCAAAGCCATTGCCACGTATATCCCGATCCTGCAATGTGGCAATTCACCTCTCACCGGCACACAAGCCGATTTTACCGCTCCAACTCCTTTGTTGACATGCTCTCGGATGCGTTATATTTCTAGGCTGCCATTCCATCAATGTTTGACTATCGGTCATTAATAAATTACATTATTTAAAACTATGATGGCCTGCTGAAACACAGGACGTTTTTTTTCACAAGGCAAGTGCCAACATAAGGGAATGACTACTCTTTGTTTTTGTTCGGTAAAGTCACGTAGGTAAGGTAAAAAAAAAAATGAAATCACGACGTTTCGGGCGCAACACAAGCGTCCTTCTTCAGGTGGGGACAACGTAGCGAAAGCACACCGCTTGTGCGTGTCTCAGAGGTGGCTCTCAGAGGTGGCTCTCAGAGGTGGCTCTGAGACACGCTTAAGCGGCGTGCTTTCGCTCAGTTGTCCCAACCCGAAGAAGGACGCCTGTGTTGCGCCCAAAACGTCGTGATTCAATTCATTTAAATTTTTTACCTACGTGACTTCACCGAAAAAACCAAAGAGTATGAATCCTTGCGGTCACGAAAACTTCAAATCTAGAATTAAGGGAATGATTGTTATTTAATTCATACTTCATTCTAAGTAATTTTCATATTTGCGATTTGAGGAAACACCAAGGCAAACTCTTGTACATGGTGCTACAGGGTGTTTTTAATATTATTTTTGTATTGCTTATGGCAGCAATATGTTAAAGAGCTAAATGACAATGTTGATGTCTGCTCGCTTCGATGAGACGGCTTCAGGAGAGAGTGTGTAGTTTGCTGTTCCTCCTCTGCCATTAATTAAGCGCAGACTACAGTGGGTTACTGTGTGTTCCACCGCTCGGCGTGTATGGCCACAATGGCACTGTGGCTTGTCTTTAAATTTTTCAGGGTGAGAGACGGTAGTCTTTTCGCAGCCCACCTGAAAGGTGTTTTCTCGTGACTCAAACACAATGAATGCCATCATCTCGGCAGAATGGATGTCGTTAGTGGGAATCCAGATATGATCGGTAGGGTATTTGTTAATGTTCTGCTGCATTATCAAATAGGGGTGAGATATGAAACGACAGGCTCGTGCAGACTGGCTGGCAACATTTCATTACAGCGAGCTTGTTAAAACTTAAATCAGGCGATTCTTATCCAGAGTTCCCATTCCTCATTCAGGTCATCGTCTCTGGCGCACGTGAATGTAGCCGCGTCAAGACGGCAGTGGGAGCGACCGCGATGTCCTCACCTGTTCCATGGCCTTCACGTAGCTGTCCTTGGACAGCGCCACTGCAGCCAGGTTATTGGCTTCGGCCGTGGCCTGAAATGAGACCCAACAAGCCCGGTTACCGACCGACAAAACATGAGCACGACAACTATCAGCGATCGATGGCAATCGTGAGGTGAGGCTGCCAAAAGTGCGCGACAAGAGGAGATGTCGTAGTAACGAAGCACCGCGCCGTGGTGACATAGACCCACGGCGACGGAGAAATAAACACAGCTGCTCGCTCGTCGCGATGGGATTTGAGCAAATAAATAAAACATGCAGCGACTATGAACGCCGAGTGGCGAGTCGTGAGAACGTATTGGGGCAATAGTTGCCCCTGAAGGTTGTTGCACTGACTGCAGACCACAATACACAATCCTAGACGGACCACACGTTGTGCAAGGCCCAACACGTTTCTTCAATAGGAGTAATTTATCGAGAGGTTTTATATAGAAAGGGGGCCGTCAGAGTGCGAGCCGCCAAGTGGCGGGGCGCCGCTGTGGATGGGTCTCAGGATCCAACCCCCGCCAAAGGCAATACAGTACAATAAACGGCCCCACCACATTTTGTTTACGTATATTTGTTTCTTACGGAAGGCTAATTTAGCGGTACGACGTCTGAGTAAAAAGTTATTAATATGCCCGTGCGTGAAGACCCACACGACCCGCGTCAGAGGGTCATCGGGGTTCATGCACACGCACACACAAGCACGACGTGTCGATCCCGAGCGAGCGACACGTAGCCGTGCGCGACGCACGGCACACGAGAGACCGACTCGACGGTGATGCACGCTCGCCCCAAGCGGCCGGCGGGCTACGGCGATACCGAACGCGACAAAAGGCCCAAGGCGGGCAAACGTATGGACGAGCGGCAGCACGGAGCGTGCAGGATGCACCGGTGAAGCGGTCCGAGGGCAGGGCGGGAGCGACGTGCCTCACCTGCAGCATTGACTTGGGATGGGGCAGCTCCTCACCCTGGTAGATTTTCATGTACGCCTGCGTCATCAGCCAAAATACAGCCAGGGCAGGATGCAGCCAGGAGACAACGCCAATGCGCAAGCTTAGTGACCGCTGCTTGCTTTACGTCAGAACTATAGCATTGGCAGACTTTTAAACCACATGCCAGGGCCAATGATATTTTAAGAGTTTGCTTAAAGGATTTAATTATTAGGACTGAGATGCACAGATGTACTCCAAGACTTTAACACGTTCATGACATCACAACTCCGCTTAGCACGGTTGGCTACATACGGTGTGAAAGAACTTCAACATACATACATTTCCAGACCAGCATTACATATTCCAAGACCATGATTAATCATTATATGTAAACATAGTTTAATAATTTCAGTGTATATAAAAAAGTTGTCAAAAGGATAAGCTAGCTACTGACAGGCCAGCATCTTTCAGTAGAGAAAACAGGTCCTCCACAACCGCGAATACCTATGTGGCAGGTTGTGGACCTTAACCGTTATCCTGTCGTATGTGCGCTGTTATTCCAGCTGCTCTGGTTTCCTTTCACGTGAAGTAGACAGGCCGAACATTCCAATGCAGGATCCAACTGATAAAGTGTTTGGAACGTGGCGAAGCTTTCTTCACTTGGTAAGTAATCGCTTTCAGTCTTTACCAATCCACTGCCGGACAAAGACCTCCCCACGCTGTGCCAGTTTTATGGGGGCTGCTTAACCATACTTCACCACGTTGGTGAGTGCGGGTTGGTGAAGATGGGGGGAAGGGCCGAGGATTGGTTTGGATCTCAATCGCCACGAACGTTAGCCGCGGTCAAGAATCTATCCCAGGTCACCAGACTCATCGTGCAGCGCGTCGGCCACCGCTTTTCTCAGTTCATAGCTGCCGGTCGGCGACACGTGGCGTTCGTGGGTTTCACTCACCTTGAAGTACTCAACGAGGCCTCGGCAGGTGATCTTGGAGCCGTTAATCTCCTTGACGACGAGGTTGGTCGGTGACAGCAGCATGGGCACGAGCTCTTGCAGATGCTTCTTGAACTCGGGATCAATGTCTGCACCCCGACGCCACAGCACGACCACGTCCCCCAAGTTACACCGTGCCGCCTTCATCCGGTTTCACTTCCCTCGAAAGTCCCTTCATCATTTTCCTCTATTGCATGCCAATGGGGCGCAACGTCATGTGACGAACAATCCGTTGACACCTCTCGCAAGGCAGTGCACCCCACACAGTGTTAGAGAACGGTCTGTGGAATGAGATAACGCAAAACTAACTTCTAAAAACTGATCTCAAGGGGCTCTCTTTGTCCACCAATTAAGGAGCAAAGTTTCCCGTGATGTCTGCTACAGAGAGAACTGCTCATTGCACGACAGTGAAACCAACATTTATTTAATTCTGATCAAATGGAATTGAGCCAAATTAAGTGGAAAAACGAATCTAAAGTCGTGGTTTATCAGTCACTGGTACCTAGGCTGAGTTCACCAACTCTCTAGACTTGAGAACTCAGTTTACTCATGGGCGGCTGCCAGGATTCAAACACGGGATCACAGCGGTGCCAGCTCAGCACACTGACCTCTCAGCCACCCGGTCACTGCACCTCAGGCTTTGTTATTTTTTAATAAGCGAACATGGATTTTTTTTTGGTTATTTAACGAAATCTTCAAACAAGCGGAAAGACACACAAGCAAAAAACGTTTAGTGAGCTGAATCCCTTGCACTGGGAGATGGGTGGAACCCAGCCACATGTGGCGGGGCTCCTGCTGCCACCGTCCACTCAGGGTTCACGCGCGCCGAACCTTCCTGTGAACAGCAGCTCCCTCTACAGCACGCACGCACACTTTTGTTTTTGCGAAGCTACTTACGTTGAATAAAAATCAATTCACAAGGCAGATCTATTTACCTTCATGCAGACCACTAACAAGGAAGGTGCTGTTCTTTAACATACATATTGCTGGTTAAGCTTAGCCACAACATCGGCGAACAATGCCCCACTGTCGGGGGAGCGCCAGGGATCAGGTTAAATGCTGGGCCGTTCATGGGATGTCTCTTTTGATGTTCAATGCAAGACACGTGGGTGGTGAGGGACAGATGGGGGGGCAGGGAATTTGGGGCCACACGACTCGGCACGGCTGTACCACCCCCGGTGGCAACGCCGAGACGACGCACGGTGGCGAGCGAACGTAACGCGGCGATCGTCTGCCGAGCGACAAAGTGGCCAGGAGATGATAGTACAGCAGGTAGGTGTTACCCATTCATTTGATAATTGATTTTCGTCATCGTCGTCATCATAATTATAAACCACACCTATGTCTCGGAATATTCTGGTTTCCTCCCATGGAGAAAACTACCAAACACTACCCTGCGCAAACCATCTCAAGATCCAATGAAATCCTCTTGGAAAGACAAGCGACGTACAGCTTTTATGCAAAACTGCTGATCGGCTCAACTCTCAAACCCATCGGCGGATCCACGCTGCACTAGCTATCAAAATCCCTTCACTGGCGTCCATCCCCTCCGCCAGCGTCTGACAGACCCCTGCTAAGATGGACTACGCTTCACAGCCCTGCACTTCACAGCCCTGCACCCACTTCCCTGTCCCAACTTGCGTCCCCTGACCCGTCGTCCTACGAATTCCCCTTCAGTCTCGAGTCAATCTCCACATGACAGAACGTGGCTATCACTCAGCTGCCCATAAATTCAACTATTTCTCCTCTGTTTAAATGGAAATTTTCCTCTAAAAAATACAGTATGGTCAAGTTTAGCTGATTTAAACCTTCATTAACTGATGTGTGCCAGTTTTATATATCCAAAAAGCACATATAATTTTAATTTGCATGTTAATACTGAACCTGTTCATTCAATCCAATACCTCAACTTCATATTTTTTTTCCTGTAAAGGCCACACAGCGTCCACGGATTCCTGTGTATTTCTTCACCAAATAAAACCCAAGGGTATCGTCCGATTGTAATTAAAAGGGTGACTTAACATTCCCCGGTTCTTGAGTCTCTATCGCTGTTTGACTGCTATGCATTTCCGGGAGGAATTCATAAACCGCAGACCTCTCCCAAGCTGGAAGACGGGCAATGTGCGAGTTTGGCCTGAGTGTGGCGCGAGATTAAACGACTTGTGGCAACATGAGACCGGCCAGCAGGGGGGGGTGAAGAAGAAATCGCCGAGTCCGCCGCATCACAAGTACGGTGGTACCTCCTGATCCGTTGACACGCACGTGGAATGCGCGAAGTAGGCACCGTTGCCGTGAGAGCAATGGGCACACGTGGCATGCACCAAACTCCACAGGTCCGAGGGGTCGCGCATTGGTACAAACTCAGTACGGGGCCACCCGAGTAAGCACGAAGCAGCGGGCAATTTTCTTGAGCGGGGTGCTCGTGAGCATGACGACAACAGCACGTGGTGCCCGTTCAACTGCACAGCTCTACACGCAACATGGTCACGGGCGCCTCGAAAACCAAGCGCCTGTAATGCGATTAAAATACCCGGCCAATTAATTAAAACTCCATATGTGCCACAAAACAGCCCCTTCCTCATTCATTTTAGCTGCATGTTTTCCTCCACTGAAAGTACCTGCCAAACAAGCTCTCACACGTGAAGCTAACTTACTACGTCCACAAAGGGCTTGCGACTCTTAGTTATTTGATACCGGCAGATTTTACGGTAAATAACATTAACACGTACTTAAGCATTAAAATCTATTTCCCAGCCAGACAACTCACAAAAGCCATACATCCTCCGAGAAAAATATAGTCAGAAACCACAGCATTATGATTGTGCCCATTTATTGTGGTTATTATCTGTTGAACTGTGGTTCTCTGTAGGCTATTTTAAACCCTTATTATTATTATTATTCTGCAGGCAAGCTTGACAACAAGGGTGCTAGTGCGGCGGTTCTCAACCTCGTGTCGCATTGTATTAACTGGCAGACGCAAATAAGGAATGTACATGTGAATAACACTGCAGCAGAGCTCTTTCCACAGATATTGCTTTGGCTGAGAGGCTCTTGAAGTTTCCTGCCTGTATCTAAAAATCATTATAAACATTTCCAGGAGATACTAGTACCCTCAAGTTGAGAACCGCCATGTTAAACACAGGCGCACATTCACACATGCACTAAATAAATAAGCCACTCGGAGCTTGCGCTCACAACTCGTGCTGCAGGAGCAGCGATGCCGTCGTCAGACCTCCTCTGCAGGGCCCACGAGGGATTCCGCGCTCTTGCTGCGGCGCGCCGACTCCGGGCGCCACACGTGCCTCGTTATCAACGCTGGCGAGCCCCACGAGAGCGAATGGGTGGATCGGTGAGAAGCGCGGTTCCGACAACCGTTGCTCCACCAGCGCCAGGAGCCATCCCTCTCACGCTCCCCCTCAAATGGCTACAAAACCACCGCAGCCGTGCATACGTCGTGGGCTACGGAGCACCGCGGCCGCAACTGGCATGTGGCACAGGCGTGAAAGCTGTAGCAGCTTACAACGACCGCTGCTGGTACACGTGCAGTGACTTCAACGGCAGCTGAGCGAGTAAAGGATCACGATGTTTGGTATATGTGGTCTGTTCCATGACACAGATATCGACTGTGTCCTTGTAAACATTACAATTACAAAATATCTTCTGGAGTTTTTGTATTTAAGACCGTGTTATTGACGGATGTGTTGAGTTTTTTTTTTTTTGTAAAACAAGGCTGTTGGCCGATGCTCGAGAAAAGACTGAAATGATTTTTGTTTTTCAAGAACAAAGGGGGTAGAGAAAACTCACAAATAAAATACGCACGCCATGAGTTTGAGACATCGGCTGCAGATCTCGCAACACGCATCGGCACTCGGCAATGGTCGGCACAGCCGGCAAGGGGAAGCCGTCACACACACGTCGCTGAGCCACACAAGCTGAGTCACACACGCCGAGTCACACACGCAGAGTCACACACGCTGAGCCATCTGAATCACACACGCTGATCCATACATGCGGTGCACCGCTTAACTACACAAGCTTTGCCACGCACGCTGAGCCATACATGCGGTGCACCGCCGAGCTACACACGCCGAGTCACACACACTGAGCCACGCATGCCGAGTCACACACGCTGAGCCATAGATGCGGTGCACCGCTGAACTACACAAGCTAAGCCACACACGCTGAGCCACACACGCTGAGCCATGCATGCTGAGTCACACACGCTGAGCAATAGATGCGGTGCACCGCTGAGCTACGCAAGCTGAGCCACACACGTTGCCTCGCTGAGCCACACACGCCACTCACTCACTTGGCAGTCAACGCTTGGAGACACCCCGTTTTTTTTTACCATTTCCGCCCAAGGGATAATATCGACTACTACGTCAATAAACCACCTGTAATGTAACAAAACAAAGAAGAAATTAAAAGGAAAAAAAAAACAACAAACAATGCTTACAAAACAATCGCAAAAAAGCCAACATCGATGACGTATGTGAATTTAGCGACGTTTCTATTCACATTCGAGCCATGGGTACGCACACTTCAATGAGCGCGCACGGCTTATGAATTCCGAAACGTTGGCTTACGCCGTTATCTCTCGCATCCCCCGAGCCCTTCGCCACTAAACCCGTGCCTGGTGCAACAGCGTGGATCGCTTCCTGCAAGCAATGACCGCAAAAAACACCAGGCTGAGATGAATGGGAAGTGTGAAGCAAACGCGAGGGCTGGTGGCAGGCCCTGCATCACAGAGGGGATGCCCTCAATCCAGTTGTGTCTTGGATACTCAGAATGATTACGGTTGGGTCTGGCTGGGAATTGTTTTGCTCTATTATGTGGGTCACTGAGTCCATGCTGCGTGTCCCACCTACACTGACCTGGCAAGGACAGCGATGAACTGGAGAGTGGCCCCTCTTGAATGGAGGTTAAAAAATGACCCTCATGAATGATGGAACTTTTCACGGTCGTCTTCCCATAGCTAAAAAGTGCTTTACCTGGGGTAAACAATATCTGTGGGTGTTTTTATTTATATCTTGAGATTTGCAACATAAATTGTGTTACAAGTTGAAAACTAAAGATGTGGGATTACGCTTCCAGAGAGACTGCAACAAAAATGTTGCATTTGTAGCCGAACTGTGCAGAGGAAAATATTTGGAGTAGATGGTCAAGCAGACCAAATGCACGGATGATCGTTATGACTGGCAGGCAGACTGGCAGGCAGGCGTGTAGGCAGTCCCACAGAGACAGGCACTGAGGCAGGCAGGCAGGCAGATGAGTAAACAGACATATGGGCAGCAGACAGACAGGCAGACAGGCAGGCAAACAGACTGGAACACAGACAAATGAACAGACGAGAGAGCACACAACAAGTGTGTGCGTGCCGTGTGCAGAGTGTTGACTGGGCACCGCGTGGCTCACCGGCAAGACGCCCATCAAAGTGAGGGTTGGTGGCCACGTTGAGGCCGGGGTGGGGCATGAGGAAGCATCCCATGTGCGTGAAGCAGCTGTGGATGTGCTTCCTCACACTCTGCAGCTCCTCGTGCTGCTTCTCCGAGATCTGTCATCGATACCGAGGATGGCGGCAGCAGAGGGCGGGGGGAGAGATTTGTTTACCTTTCCTACACCTCCGATTAGCACAGTTGGCTACGTACAGCTCGAAAGAAGTTCAACATAAGCACATACGTACTTTGTACTACTGCCGTGTTTTTTTGTATTGTTTGCTGGTGTTGATGTAACTTTCTGACCCAATGCTACTAGACATTTGTGCAAAAAAAAGCTTGATAGCTCATCGGATTCCTCCTCCAGTCTAAATAACAATTCTGATTCCGCGTCACCTTGAGACGCTTCTCCAGGAGCTTGGTGCCGCCCACGCTGCCGTACTGGAACTCATAGGGGAAGCTCCAGTCTCGCACCAGCAGCACCAGCGACTGCGCAGCAACGCGCCGGGTCGTTCAAGTTCAAGAAAAACACAATGCAAAAAAAGACAACCAGCTGTAATCTTGCAGGTTCATGCCGAGGCCCTTTGCACCAGGTCTGTCAATGTCAGTTTGAAGCTTGTTAATAAGGGAAAAAAAATACTTGAAAGTTACGTTATAGCATCTTGTCAGAACACTCAAGCGATGACGCACCTATGACATCATCAAGGTCATTATCAGCCAGGATCTGGATGAATTCTTCCCAAGCCATCGCCACACCTCTTGAATATAATGCCAATGTGATGACGTAACTAAGAGTGCAGTGTAAGCGCTCCTAAAACATGACCATGAAACATTTTTTGGTAAAGTTCAAAGTTCCAAAAAGGTTCGCCCAGCCACAAATGCAAGTCAAGATGTAATTTTTCATTAATTATGTTATTCTCACAATACATGTACTCAATCCCATGATAATCTATTATTGCCAATCCATTTGCAATAGTATACCATTGGTTTGTGGAGACCCTGCAGCTACGACAGACTGCACGTGCGCTACAAGCACTGGAAACGACAACAGGCAGTCCCCGGGTTACAGAAATCCGACTTCACGGAAATGCTCCCATAAATAAATGTTTTTTTTAAACCAATATGCGGATATTTTTGCGTTAGTTCCGTAAGCGTAAATATTGCAGTGCGGCGATATTGTGGATGAATACCGCGGAGCGAGGCATAAAGGCAGGGCTGCAGAGGGAGCTGCATCCCTGCCTTTAGAACCTACGACTGCGGATGTTGACCCCGATGTAATGCCTGTCTCCTCTCCTTCCTCATCTAACAATTAAGCCCTTCGTCATTCACAAGTATTTCTGAGAATGGGATTTATCTTGATGTTGGGGGGAAATTGTTCAGTTTCCGGCAAATGGAAAAATTCGTGTTTCGGATCCCTTTCGGGAACCTAACCCTTCCGTAACCTGGGAACAGCCTGTAATTGCTTTGCGAGTGGAATTATGACCTCAAGTCCTGACAAACCACTGCATCGTGGAGGGGTTAAATCATTGCCATTTAAATCAGAAGCTTTTGAGCAACGTGTGATAGAATCCTTTTAGTCAACACATATGGCGATTCGAAACAACGCCGACATTGTTATGCCGCTGCAACTTTTTTACAGCATCCGATTCATAAAATTACATGACTGCCTACGCGTGTGCATACTTATACACAAAGGCATTCCTACACATATGTACATAACCATTCCATTTATTTCCTTTCTTGCAAATTAACATTTCCTGGGTCTCTCCTTGCAAGAGGTGTTTTATGTCAGCTGGCTGTCCATTAAAGTAATGCATTTCAAGAGATAAGTCGTTAGTAGTGAAATGCAATCACCTGAAAGGGCTTCAGAAAGATTTCCTCCATGGCAAGTTTTCCATATTCTGTGAAGAGCTAAAAAAAACAAATTTCAAAATAGATCAAACATTAAAGATGTCGTGAAAAAAACTGAATAATCACACAGCCAGCAAGCAAAACATTTTCTTTTGCTGAAACGGAAATATGGTTATTGTTGGCGGCTCCAACAATAACCATGTCATGGCTACACATGCCCTCACTATATTTGAGCGATTAAATCGCCTCTCACCCATCGTCCCTTTACAGCCCAGTGGCCAGAAGGCTTCACAATCAGTTCCCAAGGAACTGCTGTCTGGCCTTGATGGCCCGGCCCAGGTGTTAATGCCGTGCGTGTTAATTGTGTTCAGCGAATCCAATGATAGCAGTGTGTACCCACAATTATCCAACCCAATAGAGTAAGGGGATATACCAAATAGAAGTGTGACGCACTCTGGGAAAGTCCAATTTTGGTAAATATAAATGGAGCAGAATACTTAAGTCTTTCGCTAAATTAAAATAATGCTAGACCGTTATTTTAGTGTAACAATTCATGTAAAATTAGCAATCATCTTGCAAGCAATGAATACATTTCTACGAATTCAAGTCTGCTTGCAAGCAATTAGCAAAAGCCACGAGTGGAGCAAAACCACCCTTTGTGGTTACATTAAGATTATGTCGGTATGTGGTCGTGTCAACTAAAACTGGTTAGCACTTGGTATGAAAACAAACTTTTTCACTTCAGGCCATATGAATTCCTATTTGAGCAACCTGCAGGCCAAAAGTGTTTCAACACGATGTTTAGTGTTCATTAAAAGAAAAAAAATCACTAAACAAAGCACTGTATGCAAATTGCATTTGTGAGATTATTTGTGCGATATTTTATGTGGGAGGAAACCTGCACTAATAAAAAAAATCGAAAAAGGAAAATTGTAATATCAGGTGATTTTCAGACACGTGGGTAATTATGAACAGACGTGCGACACATGGGCACACAATCAGCTAAACCCCATGAACCTTCGAGAGTCAGATTAAATAATTGAATGTGGCCCTCCGAATAATACATTGCAGCGACCTTAGCACAGCATGGGCCAAGCAAATGGAAATCTGCAAAACCTTGTCCACCCGACGTCCAATTTCCCCCCTGACATTTGCATTGAATAAGGAGAGTTGTGTCACACTGTAGATTGCTGTGTTGTGAGCAAAGAGAGTGGGAAATCAGCCGAGCGCTGGGAGCATAGAAACAAATGATCAGAAACTACTTGTTTTTTTCCCCACGAATCTAAGCACAATAACAACACAAACGATTCACACGAACTTGCTTTGTTTTCTTCTTTCTTTGTGAACGCACTCACTTTTAAAGGTGCCTAGAGCTCTGGCTTGAGCACAAACAATGCAAACAAACTCAAGCCTCCCTTCACATCTCCAAGCTTGAACCCTGTAGAAATAAGTTAATTGTTGTCATTGTTTTGTGGCCTCTGTATACTGCGGTAAGTTGAGTTCCATTAAGCACTGCAATCAATCACAGGTGCAATGCATATAAACCGCACTCCATTGATTTACCAACGCGCCACAGAGACTCGTTAGAGCAATGTGAATGAGTTCCACGGCGGGGCGAGCTCTCCGTTGCATAACACAGATGAAAGTGGATGGAGGGGGTACAACCTATAGACACGTTTGAAATGTTCTCAACTGATATCATTATTGTTAACACAAGTGTCAAAGGTCCAGCTTGTCATTATGTACGAGATGACGCAGCAAAGTACCAAGATGGCAAAAAAAATTGTCTAGATCTGAACACTCATCAACACAATGGCCATACTGGGCATGGCCTAAGAGTTTGGCGCTCCAGAAGCATATGTGTGTGTGGCAGACCTGGGGTCAATTATAATTCCATCAGTATTGTTAGCTACAATTATAATTACGTGACGATCGCAATTCATTACCTATGATCCAAATATAAATTGCAATTGGCCCCAGGTGTGGTGTGTGCTGTGTGCGTCAGCATGAGTTACCTGCAGGTGTTGTAGGTCATCCTCCTGGATGTTCTGGGACAGGTTATAGACCTGTGTACAAATAGACAAATCGTCATTACCCTGACCGGTGGTGACATGTTACTCTCCGACGTAAACTTACAGTTTACCAATAGCTACAGGGTGAAGCTTCCATCCAATGGGAACCCAATGCAGGCAGCACAAAGATCCGTATAAATGTGGAAGAGATTTTAAAATGCATTTCTTTACCAAGGAATTGTTTTCACTGTTGCCATATCCTGACTGCAGGTGTTGCACCATCATCTACCCGTTGTTAATATGACTGTTTTTGTGCACGTTAACAGTTATCCATGCTAAGACCAACAACACGAGAAGTATTTTAGCATCAACGGCAGTAAAAGGCTTGAAGCCAGGTCATCACAAAACGCTGGATCTACGCTCCTGCACGGCTATCAGTCCCACTACCCACGAAGCCACCTTGACTTCATAATCTATAGTCATGGATGCTCACCATTTACGGTTTAAGGAGGTGCAACGGCACTCGACACATTTTCAAAATCGACAACAAGTAAAAGCCTTGTAAGCTCAAATTGTAGACATTTGCCACCATTACCGCCGCGCTTGGTAACGTAACATAAAGGACTCCAGCTGCGCTCACATCAGTAAAGTGAGAAACCCGCTGCAGGGAGGCGGTGTTACAACAGCTGCCCGTGAGATTCTGCAGTCTCTTTGCTGCGCAACGACGATTAGCGCCACTGAAAGCTCCAGCAACATGAATAAAGGGCAAACATCGGAATAACACGGAGGGGAGTACTGCCTTTTACATCTAATCTGCCTATTAAAAGTTCCTTTTTATCGGTCCCGCGTATGAGAACGCACGGCGAAACAAAAAAAACAACAAAGGCTGATATGCAAAAGCATTTTAAAGGCAGGGCATGTATCGATTGTGCATCAATGTGAAGATCATGCTCAACAAAGTTTCAATCACGGCATCAAATACCCCATATACTTAAGGTCAGACGGTGGAAGTCTGAGTCAAGAGGAGGTCGCGTCCACGTGCTCTACTCACTCGTCTTCAACACAAGCATGGCTTGTGTCGCGTGCATGTAAGGGCAAAACTGAGAGGGCATGTATGTTTTGGTGTCTATATACTTCCACTTATAGCAACGGAGCACGTGCATATTTGTCATACACCCTGGAGGGCATTCATGAGTAGTAACTGACAGCAAGTGCCTGAAAACAGCACGCCCATGACTCCAGGCTCAAGCAGCACTGATTGTTGCTGAATAACTTCTGCAAAGCGGTGCTCCATCGCAAATCAAACGTTCCAAATAAATAGAATAGACTAAATTATCCACGTGCGGGTTATCCGATTAACAGATTTACTGCGCACATAAGATTTTGGCATAAATGAATAACTCATGGATTTTCCCTTAAACCCACATTCATAATCTAAAAACAGTTATACACTGATTCTTGGAAATGTTTACTACAAGTCACGTGCCTATACCCAACACATATGTTGCTCAGGTTAATCCGAAATCCACATGATCGCCTCTACAGTACAGTAGTTGCATATCTTTACAACAGTGAGCGGAGTTTGATTGATGTTGATTGGCGTGGCTCTACTATCATCCACTTAGTGGGCCGAGACTTCTGCGTAGGAGCAAGACAGTGTTATCAATGAGCACTCGCATCGATCGGTCGATTCTTTACTACAAATGTTTGTTTTGTTCATCAACAAAATACATTTTCCATGGATCTCTTAAGAGATCCATGGAAAATTAATATTTTTTTATTAACCCGGGATTTTCAATTATCCACGGTCGTCCTCCTCGTCATTAGCGCGGATAATCGAGAGTCTACTGTAAGTTAATCATGTACAATCAAAGTTTGTGGGTGATGAAGGAGATGACGATGAAGATGCTTCATAAATAATTTTGTTGCCAGTAGCATGGCTGCCAATTTTGACGTTCAAAAAAACAGCACGATTTGATTTTACAATTGTAAAGAAAAAAAGGGCATATATTGAGCAGGGAAAAAATAATATGAAGAAAAGATTTGGCATTAACATTAAATCCTTATATTGTAGGGCCATAATCAAGGTCGAGAATATTTTCATGCTATTTTGCTGAACTCACAGCCAGTTTAGTCCCATCATGCTCTGAAATAAGAATCATAATGAAAAGTAATCGGGCATGGAAGCATCAGAAAAAAAATGGAACACTCGGCACCCACGCATCATCAATGTGGGTCGACCGGACGCCACCGGTGGGCTGCGAAGTGGATGGACAAAGGGACCGTGCGAGTGTGTGCGTGTCGGCGTGCGTGTCGGCGTGCGTGTCGGCGTGTGCTACCTGCACGGAGCTCGTCATGGTGCTGAGGGCGAACACGGTGGCAGAGTCGCGGATGGTCGACTGGCTGTCGAACGTTCCCTGCGTGTCCATCAGTAGCACGGCCACCTGCAATGGCACAGCCAGGCGGACGGCGGCATGCAACCGAAGGCAATGATGGTGAATGCAGCGATGATAAACCGAAACTACAGTCGCGCACAATGACAAGATGAATGCCAAAAACCAAAGGCAGAAAAAACAATAATAATAATATAACGATCATACCGACAACTATTCATCAACAATATGACTGGAATTATGAAGTTGAATGAAAACAACGATAAATTGAATGAAAACAACGATAAAAGACACGGCGACCCTAGCAATGGTGATAATGACGCTGTGGGTAGGTGCAGATATGTAAGTTTGTGGCGACACTAAACACGAGCCTGACAATCACGAGATAAGCACTGCACAGGATAGCTATCAAACCCACTGTCCATGCCTGCAGAAATTGTTCACCCATTATAACTCATGTTGATCATTATCCTTACAATTATCTCGTATTCATTGTCTGAAACTGTCGCTCAATCTTTACGAGGCTCTAAGTAAAGAGGCCATTAGATTTATTGACGCGTAAGACTTGCCCTTTGTAGAAGGCGAGCGAAGTTCCTGAAACTGTGGCCAATAATCTGCTAGTCACGTGTGAACCGGCAAAGTGCTCACGCACGCTGACCACTATGCTACTTGGCCACGTACGCACGCTGTGTACTCCGAATGGGTATTTCAAGAGACAATGACACGGGATAATAACACGTTTACACGCAAAATGGGAAAAGATCGCTTGCATTAATAACATGCGTGGGAACCTCACTGATCCTAATGTTTAACAGCTGTACAGGCATCAAGCCTTCCTTGGGAAAATGTAACATTGACAACTGATACCAGGATTAAGAACGTACATTTTTGCCCCGTTTGGCTTAGCAGGTGCACGGTGACCTACTTTCCAGACCCCCGTGTACATGCACAGTCCCACTCAAAGCAGGGTGCCAGCAGTTCATACAAACGTTAAATCAACGCTCCAAGCTCTCAACGATTTCAAAATACAATACAATCATCGGCAACACCTCATTTCACCTCAATTTGGTCTTGTAAAAGAACCTTGGGCGTTCGACACGTAGAAAAAAATTAACCCCTTAAAATGCATCGCATTTGACACGGTACACCTGTCCCAACGCTGACCTTTTAATAATCACGAAGCAAAAGCTTAAAGTTATATTACATGTAACATAGCACAGTCTCTCCTCGTCTGTAGACTATTTTTTCATCGTGGCATTCAATCAAAACTTCACAAACACGCCTGAGTTCAGGCCTACAATCCGACAAGACAGTTCCCTGTGAGGCCTACTACATCGGTCGTGGATATCCTATGCCTCCCCATAACATCAAGAGAACAAAAGAGTTTGCGGCCACGGGTTGCTGACGAGCTTGACTGAAGTTGAAACCGATCCCACAGTGGGCACGCTTCAACGCTGGCTGACACTGCCGGAAGAGGAGGTCCAACGGGTCCATGACGTGCGTTCGTGCCGGACGCACCTGGCTGCCGTCAGGCTTGTCGACGAGGAACACCTCGTTCCACACCTGGATGCCCGTCGTCTCGCGCTCGGAGCCCCCGCGCCAGCTGAACCCCGTGAGGGGCTCCGCCTCCCCGCCCAGCCAGCTCCCGCCCATGCTCTGCACGATGCCCGTCCAAGGTGAACCACAGCACAAATTATAGAGAAGACGCAACCCATAAAACAAACAGCTCCTACCTTATATAGTCTTGGTTCTTTCAGTAAAGTCACGTAGAAGGGAAATAATAAAATAAAAATAGAAAACAATAAACTTCTCACGCAATTTCGACTGCAACACAAGCAATCATCATCAGGTGTGAAAACCACAGCAATAAAATGTTCTGTGGTTTTCACACCTGATGATGATTGCTTGTGTTGCAGTCGAAACGTCGTGAGAATTTTATTGTTTTATATTTTTATTATTTTATTGTTTCCCTTCTACATGACTTTACCAAAAGAACCAAGAATATGAATCCCTGCAGTCACGAAAGCTTTAAATCAAAGCTCCTACCTTGTTGATGCACGCACCTGTGCCGTGACCCGAGCCGTCACACACACGAGGTTGATTCTTTGTGACGGTGAATTTTTTTTTAAGTTACCATCAAGCACACCGCCATGCGGCGCTGGCGGTATAACGACATTGCCGCTGTATTAAAATACACCGGCGTTGTACGAGAGTGACATCACGGTGAAGTCACTATGGTGGCACAATGGAACGCTTGACCGCGGGGCTAGACTGCAGCTTTAACGAAACGTTCGCTTTGGCCTACCAATCCACACAAAATCGCCGACAACACAAAATACGCAGATGCCGTTCCATATAGATGGATCTGGCTGCGGGTAAACCTCATGGGAGACCGGGGAGCGGGGAGAGGCTGGAGACGCACCTGTCTGTACATGTAGCGCAGCAAGAAGTCGAGCAGGAAGGACTTGCCCTTTCGGAAGGCACCGGCCACCGACACGACCACCACCTCCTTGTTGCGCACCTCGGGCCGCAGCAAGATGCGCTCGAGCGCCGCCTCGTCCAGCTCGAAGGTGTGGTCGCCCTGCGCCACCACGACTTGCACGGGCCGCGCCTCCTGCACCACCTCCATGTCCGAGCCATCCGGCGTGCTGGGGCTCGACGCATCGTCTGCCAACGGGACGGAGAGCGGCACGTGCGCGCGTGCGTCAGGCAAAGGGTGGACGCGCGGACGTTTGTGGATTGGCGAATGAGCAGATGGTCAGAGGTGTGCAGAGGCAGATCAGGTGCCTGGACAGATGACGGGTATGTCTGTCTCCACCTCCCCAATGCTCACTAATTATACGCCGCCACTTCTCTTACGTAACATGTCCGTGCTGCATCTGCATCTCTCGCACCGCACCGGTCTCCGCCTCGCACGCCAAACATCTCAGGCCTCTTGCTCCGCACGTTCCCACGCTGTGCCTTTCTAAATTTCTCTCCAAATAGCCAGGCACTCACGAATGATGCGGCCACTATGACGCATCGTTGGTGAGCATCGGGGCCATGTGGAGTTTGAGATGCATGAACAAACAAAAGCAGACAGAGAGAACGTGGAGACATTTGGAGTGAAAATAGCTGAGCGTTACATGGCATGGAGATGTTTGGAGTGAGAGAAGCAGAGAGAGAGACCAGGCATGGGAGACAAATGGAGCAAGTGAAGCGGAGAGACACCGCATGGAGTTATATGGAGAGAAAAGCAAACACGTGCACGAGTGAGATATGGAGTGAGAAGCTTTGAAGTGAGACGCAGTATCGGAGAGGCCAGGTCCTTGAAAGGCAAACAGCAGAGTAAGAGAAACAAACAGCATTAAACACATACTGCTTATGGCAGGATCTGTGTTCCCTTGCCTGAAGATTTCCAGAATCAAATTTAGTCGGTTTCCTGCAGAACGAACGATCGAGGCTTCACGGAAACGACACGACTTGGTTGCCACAGGTAGTTTATGTATAAAGGCAGATCGTATTTGTTTTGAAATCCAAGCCAGCTCACAGCGAGCACGGTTACTCTCCGAGAGGAATGCGCTCAAAGACAAAGAGCCGTGGAGCACAACACTCGAGATTAACGAGCCATCAGCTAACCAAACCCCGTAGCTAGCGTGGCAGCACACGCAATCGCGCCACTCTGCGCCCTGCGTCAACAAGAACAGCAGCAGCGTTCTGCTTGTATGTGACATTTCTAGTTACCGTACATCAGCTGCAACATGCAAGTGTTCATTCATTTTACGTGTCACGACCTCTGGACTGCAGCAAAGTGTACTACAAAACCAAATTAACCAACACACAAAAAATGTCCAAGAACAGAATTTCAAGCTCTGAAACCATTCTAGGAGCTTCAAATTTTCACAACACTTGCACTTGAAGCAACCACCCCATTCTGTGAAGGATGACTACATCAGCCTAACACGCCACTGGGATAAAGATCACACTTAGGGCTTGCATCCACGAGTGATCATGTGGTGTGCACTGAAAAACGTCACGCATTTGACCAAAACCGGCCAGTCACTGCTCCTTTAAAGGGCCTTGTGCCTTCAAGGGCCCCAGTTTCTTCACAGGGTCCCAGTGCCAACAATAAAATCTACTACCTGCCTCAGCAGCACAGCCAACAGGGACCCTCATTCTGACAACACTAGCAAGAGGACCTAAGTGTCCTCAGCAATAGCCAAGGTCATGAACATGCACTGATCATTCGGACGAGGGTGTTGCGCTCAGAAGGCCATATGATGAAAAATAAAACCACCATACACAAAGGTGGTGAGCCACATTCGCATCTTAATGAAATCACTGGAAGATATCTTCATAGCAATTTTCCTCGTTGCTGGTGATAGGAGACGGAACATTTTAGCTTCACCACAATGACATGAACCATCGCCAGACATATTAAGCTGAACAACTGTGTCATTCCCTTTTTAGGGTCATGCTAAGGCACAGCATGTATTGAATGTGCCTCATATTACCTCACTATCGTGATGAATATCTGGCAGCAGAACCTTGTATGTTTCCACCTAAATTTGTTTTGAACAAGCCTCAATCCTCAGAGCAAGATATATTGGTGCTAAATATTTTCACTCAACTCAGTGGGGATACATTAATCTTCCATGCACAACAGGAGAAGTAAAAGGGCAGTTACACACAATGGCGGAGCCAGGATTTTCAGGTAGGGGGGCCAACCCCTCCAGCAATTAAAAATGATAGAGGAGTTGTTAGTAAGTAAGGACTTGCCCCTTGCTTTTTATTCGACGCGTGTGCGGCAATGGCACAGCCATCGATCGAGGGTCGAATTCGAACCGTGTGTGATCGGCATCGCGCTCGCTTGAGGTGTTTGTCTTCAGGGAAGTCGTGCCCTGTATACGCAACTGCGCACAATTCTGAGTCACTTATAACTGCTTTTCCGTTACTTATTGCCAATTATGGACTCAGACTATTGTCCTATCCTCTCAGAGTCCCTGGCACGTAATAATATGCTACACAGTGGCAGTGGGGGTCGCAAAATGTCGATTTATTACGAATAAACCCCAATGATCCGATCAAAATTAGGGATTTTTATCGGATCATTGGGGGGCATGTGCTACCCCCCCCCCCCCCCCCACTGGCTCCGTCAGTGGTTACACAAATTAGACAACTCTAGTTAAAATGTCAAAATCAACCCAACAATACATGTGGGTATCTATAGTTTTGAGAAAAAAATATTTATGAAGTTAATGGTTTAACATGTACACAAAAATGAATGCACCTTCACCATCCCAACGTGGATGAAGTCAGTCTCATTTCGTCGACATTGGTATTTTATGAACATATCTCCCTTATCAATAAAGATGCGGAAATTGTTTTGATAATAATTACAGTCCTAATTGGCTGACCTACTATGCCCAAGTAAAAAGCCACTTCATGATTATAATAATGATTACCCGCACAGATAAAATGTCCGAAATATACGTCTGACATCGCGGTACTACCCGCAAGATGTGGAGCTGCTGCCAACAACCAGCAGCTGAAGCCACATGATTGTGATATGACAGGTAGTGGTAATGGGACCTAACCAAGAGTAACATTTGCTTAATTGCTTTAGATTTTTTTAATATGCTGTACCACTGTTGACATGTCCTTTGCAGTCACTAGAGGCGCTACCATCCGTCACTGCAATAAGGAATTGATTATTGAATGAAATCGTGATCCTGAATCATGGTGATTCATTAAATGGCAAGGGCAGCAATCATCACCGGCTTACATTTCTGCTGCAGGAGAGGAGAAAAGAGTTCTAGTTAGTGGGGGACGATATAATAAAAATGCTCAATTGTAGCAACAGTTTAATTTCTTAAAGATTTGTGGGATATTATTCCAAATGTTTCTTCAACACAATAGTTGGGAAAAAATAATACAAATAATTTTAATTTTATTTGATGCATGTTATCATAAGTCTAATAAACATTTATTTAAATCAATGAACTATTACACCCTTATGTAAATGCAAAGCAGCCAATTACTTCCGTCAGTTACTTTAGCGCTGTGGGTATTCCAACATTTGCCTGGCATTTCCCACGCATGCCTTCCTTGGAGAGCAGGTGATGTTCACGCCAAACAGCTCTCACCTGGCACTAAATAAATTAGTCGACTGTAGCACAGGTGAACAATTCTTGACCCACCACCACGCTGCACACCTTGCGGAGCCTGTGGCCTTGCAGCAGAAACTCTTGCCAAATTAAAGCGCAACGGGAAGCGATTGTTATGAGGATGCATTGTTATGAGGATGCATTTTACATTTGCCTCCAGATTGCAAGAGGGGTTTGGGCCAGGTTCAGAGTTGCAGAACAATTGAATCATTTGGCGGGACCCCGGGGTCCCGCAAAAATCAGGTCAATAATTATTATTTTTCAGTCTGCCCACTCGTGATCCCTACAGCAACGCGCCGCCCGCCCAGACTTGCGCCAACAAGCGCCAGCAGGCGGCGATCAACACGATGGGCGCCACCCCAACTGGCCAAACGCAAGCCCGGGCGGCGTCCGCCGCAGTCGCGCGCAGCGACAACGCCCTCCGGTCAGCCGTCGATCCTCAGCTTCTTTGCCAAGGCGAGCCCGCCCCCCAGGCAGTGAATTTAACGTGTTTATGTAATTTTTCAACTTTTTTCGAAACTTAGTGCCCCGAGTAGCTCTCAACGAGGCCAATCGATTGACACTAGTTTTGTTGTCGGTAAGGCAAGACTCGTGTTGCTACGCGGTTTTTCCCACCCCGGGGCAGTGATGGGACCCCGGGGTCCCGCCAATTGCTTCAATTGGTGCATTGAGCCAATAGGATGTCAGTTATGCAGAAATTGCACAATGTAATTCGATGACTGTGTTTTATTTCAAAACTGATTCTTGAAGATGTATTTAAGCTCCATAAAACACAAAACATTCACAAAATTTCACTTATGGTCCAAATGTGCCGAACTTCATGAAATCACAAGGTGAAAACTACAAATACGATTTTCACAAACCACTATAGCACGCCACTGCCCCACTTCAAGAGACCTATTCAATCCTGGTTGCGTTTCAAATGACCATGTGCACTCGCACATCACCCTCACGTGCCCGAATGTCGTTCTCGCCTCCAATAATAAAAAAAGCTCGTAGTCCAGATCTGACCATCAAATGTCTCCCCAACAAACAAGCACTTTCTATTTTGTCAGCTAAAGCTGAAAACTAACATGAAGCATGAATTAGATTCTGATCAACCTCTGATGTAAATTAGTACGTATACCCGTTCAGCTCTTTTATAAATCCACTGCTGGATGAGGGCCTACCCCATGCCATGTGAGTTGTGGGAGCGATTTGACTATGCTGGTCAGTACTCTTTGGTTCTATTCGGTAAAGTCACGTAGGTAAAAAATAAAACAACAAAAATCACGACGTTTCGGCCACAACACAAGCGGTCTTCATCAGGTGAAGGGATCAGGCTGTCTCGAGGACAGCGCTGGTGTGAAACACAGCCACGCTCAGACCACGGTCAGTGCCCAATGGTGCAGGTGAGGAGCATATAGACGTGGTAGTGCAAAGGGCAATACTGAATGTTGCTGCACTGCCCTATGCTGCCCATAACTTAGCAGATTTAAATATACAGAAATACGCAAATATTTTAAAAGCTTTAAAAATAAA